AAAATTTAAAACATAAATAAAGGGAGGCTGAAGTACTGACATTAAAAAAAAAAGAACAAATGAGCAAAGGAGTGTTTATAGTAATGCATGAATGAATAAGTTAATGAGTGAGTTACGCATAAATAAGTGAATAAGTGATAAGTGGATGAATGAATGAAAAAAACAAGATAGTAAGTAAATGGATGAAAAGTGCCTGTGGCAGTGAGAGTATGAGAGAGAATCAGTGAATTCCCACCCCCGTGTCTTGGTTCAAACCCACCTAGATCTTCCGCCCTGCTCCCCACCCACGCAGCGCATACCGCAGTGTTAACCTGCTTTAGATTACAAGGAACAGACGCACTCAGGCTAGAGGAGATTTACTGGAGTATTCACAGGGCAATAAAGAAGTCAAAAACAGCTATACAGGCAGCTTCACAGAAGAACAGAGACTTGAAAATGGTTCGTGATCCAAAGTAGCTCTGGAGCCTGGCTTATCTTTCACCCCCTCAGCTGCAGGCATCTGTTGCTCCCTTCTCTGGTGCTTCCCAAAATGGTGACTCAACTTCTTTCTGCCTGTATTTATACTCCTACTGCCACTGACTACCTCCCTTCTGCTCCCCCCTCGTTACCCCAGGGCTTCCAGGGCCTCACAACTTCTGGGCTTCCTGTCACCCGCAGCTTCTTGGCTCCCGGGGCTTCGGTTCCAGAGTCCAGGGCTTCCCTGTGCTGTGGCTTCTGCTTGCGTTGCGATCCCGCTGCCTCCTCGATCCGGCTGCCTTGCTGCCACGTGGCTGCAGCTCCCTCGTGGCTCCTGCAGCCTCGTCACTTCTGCTGCTGTGTGGATCTCACGGATTCAGGGTTTTGTCTCATGGTTTCTGTTCCTCATCGCTCCGATTGCTTCATGGTTCCTGTGTCCTTCTGGCCTATCGCTGTCTTGCTGTTTCATGGCTTCTGCTACCTTCCGGCCCCGTGTTGTTATGATACAAATGTCTCAAGGTTTCTGCAGCTTTCTCCTTGCTGGCACCTCAAACCCACTGCCACTTCGGCTGCATGAAAATCTAATTAATTGTTCACTTCTGAATGCCTCACATTCAGCCTCTCTAAAAAAGGATCTGATTGTTTTATACATTTGTCATTCAATATAGGCTCTCCCCGAGGCAGAGTTCTTACATCAGTCCACCCAACAGGCCGAAGGCCAGCCTAGAGGTTTGCTGTCCTTGAGTCAGATATTGTTCCAACCTAACCATCAGTAGCCAGGATTTCGAGGTCACATGGTGCAGAGCATGGCAACTCATACTTAAGAAACCCCTTAGAAGGGACTGTGGGCATGGCAGGTTTGCCGAGGGTTTCCAGAAGGGGGCAGTATAATTGGCAAGCTTCTTGTTTGGCCTGTCCAGTACACCGACCTTCAAGACCAACCTAAGTCCCACCTGTATGGCTCTAGGGGTGACGTGGAAAGGGAATTTAGGTTCCAGTTCTGGATTCAACACCTAGTAGTAGGACCTTGGGGAAGTTCCTTTCCCTCCAAGGGCCTCAGGAGGAGGTTGGACAAAGTCTATAAGTTGCCTTACAGGTCTAACGTCTGGGCATCTCACTTTAGGTTACTGTATAAGAGTGTAAGTCTTGCCCTGGCCAGTTTGGCCCAGCGGTTAGAGCGTCGGCCTGCGGTCCAGAGAGACCCGGGTTCGGTTCCCACTAAGGGCACGTACTTCGGTTGCAGTTTGTCCCCGGCCCTGGTCGGTCGTGCAGGTGGCAGCCATTCGATGTGCTCCTTTCACGTCGATGTTTCTCTCTCTCTCTCTCTCTCTCTCTCTCTCTCTCTCTCTTCCTCCCTTCCACTCTATCTGAACAAAAAATGGAAAAAAAATCTCCTCGGGTGAGGATTAAAAAAAAAAAGAGTGTAAGTCTTCCTGGGGTAAGTCCTCAAAAACATCTCTTGAGGTAGGAAAGAGTCGTCAGTCTTGGTTTGGAAGGGCCTCAGTGTACACAGGAGGTGCTTAGCCAAGATTTGTTGAACTGGAGAAATGAATCAATGGCTAGGGAGAGGGGGAGACCACCGAGCACACAGAGAATGTTTGATTAACTTGAGGAGGGAGTTGCAGGTGCTGAGGAATCTGGAAGGAGACTAAGATAGATGAGGAAGGAGAATTACTGGAATAGGGTAGGGGTCTTGACTATTAATGGGTGCTCACTCTATCCTCTCAGTCACCCTCCAAGTCCAATAATCAGTCACCAAATCTGGTTCATCATCATCCCTTATCAGCTCATACCTTATCACCTCCAAGCCAGTCCTACTGCCCTTGGCCCTTGAGTAGGCAGGCTTCCTGGTATTTTCAACAGTTTCCTACCCAATCTCCCTGTTTCCTTCTCTCTCTCTCACAAATGTATTCACTGATTCATTTATTTATTCAGAAACTATCTATTGGGTGTCTGTTTTGGGTCAGGCACTGTGCTTTTAAAAAAAAACATGTTTTTATTGATTTTTTAGAGAGAAAGGAAGGGGAAGAGAGAAACATCAATGTGAGAGAGAAACATCGATTGGCTGCCTCCTGCACGCTCCCCACTGGGGATCAAGCCTGAAACCTCGGGCATGGACCTTTCAGTCCCTGGGACCAATCCACTGAGCCACATCAGCCAGGCAGGCACTGTGCTTTTTGCTGGGAAAATACCAGTAGGAAGATAACCCTGGGCCCACCCCTGTGCTTGCAGCTTATTCAGAGAGACAAAATAAGCAAAGATAATACACTGTGAGAACTGAACAACCGGGAAACTACAGGCATGGGAGCCTACAGCATGAATATCTAACCTGATCCCTTCCACACTGGCTGGCCCGAAAGGGGGTTGCTAAATTCACAAGTGACCGAGTCTCCCTTGCGTAAAACCACTCCATGGCTCCCCCACTGCCTTCATGCTACAGTTCTAGCTGGCTGCACCCTCAAGTCATGTGCTGACCTTCATAAGCACGCAGGATCCGGACGCCCCAGCCCAGAGTTACTGACACTGAACTTGCAGGGATTGGCTTCAGGATGCCCCATGTGTTTCTGGTGTGCAGCCCGTTTGGGAACCACACTGTCCCATGAGATAAACCTGGGCTCCGGAGCCGGGCTCTTCAGACCCTCTTTAAATCTGGTCGCTGACTACCTCTCCAGCTTTACTTCCTGCTGCTCTTCCCCACCCCCAGGAAACCTTATGCTTCAGTATTTCTGAACTGCTTTGCTGTTTCTTGCCTTCAGGTCTTTGTGCACATAGCATTCCCACTACCTGGAAATTCCTTCCACTTCAACTGGATCATTTCTACCAGTCCCTCAGGACTGAGCTCAGGTGTCGCCTCCTAGACTAGAGGCTGCCTCCCCTGAACCTCTACCTAAGCAGATGCCCCGCCTTTCTCCGTGCTCCTGTCAGACACCGATCACACTGACACTGGATGGTTAACGGCTGTGTTAGGAATTGCCTCCCCAGAGAGTGAGCTCCTCGATGGCAGGATAGAGATTTGACTCATGTTTGTGTCCTTGGTGTGCACCATCGTAATTCCCAGAGTGAGGTGCCCAGTTAAAAGTACACACTGTCGTGGAGTACTCCGCACCTCCCTAGAGCAAGGCTACAGGGTCTGGGGTATAAGGGACTCAACCCAGTGTCTTCCAGGGAGCCCTAAGGATGTTACTCAGATCCAGCTTCCTCTTGAAAGCACCCCCTGGTGTCTGCTCTCTGAGCTCAGACTTCACTGACATGTCACCTTGTGACGACACGAGGCAGTGGGCAAGCACAGAGAAGGTTCATGTTGAAGTTCAGGCTCTCACACTGAAGCACTCGGATGGCAGGCAAGTCAGCTCACCTGTGATCCTCAGGATTTAAGATCTTTTAGCAACTGTGTTCTGCGTTCCAGGGCCTTAGTCCAAGGCATACCATGTAACCCTTTCTATCCTGTGAGGTAGGAATTACCTATCTAGATCAGTGATTTTCAACAGGTGTGCCCCAAGAATTTTTAAAACGTGCAGTAACTATTTAGTGAGGGGCACTGACCTTTTTCCTTATATCATCAAATAAAAAAATGACAACGGACAACACAGCTATCCAGTGTGAATAAATCAAAATGATACCTCTTTTTCTGTCAGATCAGCAAGAAATATATTTCTTGGTGTGCTGCAGAATTTTAAGTTTATGTGCCATGAGATGAAAAAGGTTGACAATCGCTGATCTAGTCTTTTCCATACCCTATTGAATGAGATTTTCAGGGACAAGACCAGAGCAAGTTCCACAGCCTTTGGGAACTGGTGATTATATGCCCTTCTGCACGACTTCATTTTCCAACCTGTGCATATATTGCTTTGATTTTTTTAATACTCACCTCAGGATAGTTTTCCATTGATTTTCAGATAAAGTGGGAGGAACACTGATGTGAGACACATCGATTGGTTGCCTCCCACACGACCCCGACCAGGGCCAGGGATCGAACCGCAACCGAGGTACATGACCTTGACCAGAATCGAATCTGCAAATCTTTGGTCCGCAGGCTGATGCTCTAACCACTGGGCAAAACCGGCCAGGGCATATTGCTTTGATTTTTAAAAAGACACCTCACACGCAATGCAAGTGCAAAGCTAAGGTTGATAATCACCCTCACTGTGGAGAAACCCCAAGACTGAATCGGAGGGCTGGAGTTCAAACTCTCACTGTTATCTGGTAGCTGGATAACTTAACCTTCCTGGACCTCAGTTTCCCCATCTGTAAATGGGGAGAATAGCAATTGCTACCTTTAAAGGCCTGTGATGATCTGTGCCAACCAAACTGCTTCCGATGTATTGCATTTCATGCTCCCTACACTGCTGCAAGGTAGGCCTACATTAGCTCCTTCTCTCCATGAGGAAACAGGCTCACGCAGGTGAAGTAATAGGCTCAAGCTGCTACAGTTGGGACTTGAACCAGAATGACTCCCAAATCGTGCTCTTATAGATAAGCCCGTACTTCCCAAACTCTGGCACCCATACTACTGGTATGGGACTTCTTTGATTGAACACAAATTTGTTTCGATAGTTATCTTTTATTATGCATTAAAAAACAATATCATAGCACATAAAACCCATGGTTTCACAATATCACTATTTAAGATGAAATTGAAGTAGATAATGATGTTAAACCTAAGACAAACTCAAAAAGAATATTGAGTGAGTAGTACAAGAGGGCAATTTGGAATTATCTATTAAAAACAAAAATATAAATAGCCTATGATTTTTAATTCAACTTCTAGGAATCAATCATAGGTAAATTTACACACACACACACACACACACACACACACACACACACACACGCCATGCTCCTATGTAGTACTTTGTAATATCAAAAAACCAGAGAATAGTCTTACTGTCACAAGAGAGATGGGTAAAATGTGAGAGTCATATGATGGCAATCTACAGCAATTACAAAGGATGACCTGAATCTATTAGCAACATGCATAGATCTCAGAAACATTAAGCCAAGAAAGCAAATTGCAGAACGTGTCCATATACCGTCCGCATTAAACACAATATTTCCAATTATAATGTATGTCAAAGTCTCAAAACAAAGTCAAGATAAATAGGTGCACAACAAACAGAACAGCAGTTAAGGGAGGGAGGAAAAATGAGGCTAGCTTTATTTGTAATAATCTAATTTCTTATAAAGGATGGATTCATGTATTACTCGAGTAATTAGAACTGACTTAACTTTCCAAAAACAAAAATGCAGTATACAGTGGGACAGAGTGATGGTCTGACGGTGTGTGTGTGTGAACAAGCAAAGATTGACCTCAGGGCAGCAGGCAATGCTGCCTCTGCAGCCCGTGCAGCTAACGTAATTAGTTCCCAAAACAAACATCACCTGTGTTTGGCTAGGGTGTGGCCCAGGCTACCTCTCCCTTATTTCCTCACAATTCAGGTTGGGGCCCAGGCACCCAGTGATTGATTATACATGATTGAAGCTACAGATTTCCTTAGGCCCTCCACTTACCAGGTAAACCCCATCAATGCCCTGGAACTTTCCTAGTAACCAGGGCACTCAGCACCTCCCAGATTTGGAGACTCCTTCTTTTCCTAACAACTGGGATAGAAGCCCTCAGGGATCCAGGCACAACGGCTGCATTCTGAGGGTTCAGCACCTAGTGGGCTCCAAGCAGGGATAAGGCCTCCAGGGAGAAGCTTGACATCATTAACTCCTATGTGAGGTAGGTAATATTGTTAGCCCTATTTAATACATAAGGAAGCTGAGGCACAGAAAGGTCAAATGACTTGCCCAATGTCAAACGAGTGATTAAAAAAAAAGGGACTAGAACCTGCAACTGTCTGTCCCCAGAGCCTGGGCTTTGCTCCTAGTGCCCGGGCTTTACTCCTAGTGCCTGAACAAATCCCACCGATTTATCAAGGTCTAGCTCAAATGTGACCTTCTCCAGGAAGCCTGGAGGTGATCGTCGTCTTCTCCAATTCCAAGTGCCTGGACATGATTCAGCTAACCACAGGAACTCATGAACCCACTGCATCTCCTTAGGAGGGGTCATGCCTGATTCAGCTCTGCATTCCTATCAGAGAGCCTGACAAATAGAGTGTTCAGTATGTTTGACAAATACATGAATAAATGAAAAAAATGAGTGAATGCAGGCAGTTTCCTGTCACTGCCTGACTTCTTCCTATGAGGTCCTAAATACTTTTGCCCTATTCTGGGGTGCGGTCATACTAAGCTCTCCCGGGTCAAATTCAACCTAGGTTCCTTCTAAAATTAGTTTCCAATATCTTCATTATTTTGCAACCACACCCACGTGCGCACATACAGACACACACATACACACTCACACATAAGCAAACTGTAAGGGGTCCCATAGACTCATGATTATGGGTGACAGAAAGGGAGGTTTGGGACAGGGTGAGCGGGGGATAGACAGATGCCCTGTTCAGCTCAGCACCTCCTTTCAGAGGCCAGGTTGCTCCCTGTAGCTCCGGAGTTTCTGCTCCAGACCTAACATCACCTCTGTTCCTCTTTGTGCTCGATGGCAGTGCCTAAATCCCATGACTATAGCAAACAGGACAGGAGGCGGGGGAAGGTTGGGAGTCCCATATCCAGAGATTGGCAGATGGGCAGCTTAGGGATCCAGACAGGACAGGAGGGCAGAACGACTGCTACTGCTCATTGGGATTGGGGTTGGCATCTGGGTACTTGGTGAGGTCAAAGGTCAGGACTTTGCTGATCACACAGTCCCCTTGCTGAAGGAGGAGGGAGAAGACAAAAAAGGAAATTGTAAAGAGAGAATTAACAGGGGTCCATCGTCCCAAGGCCTGGGGGCCTCAACCCTCCTCTCTACACACCTGCCCAAAGCCAGGCAACGGTTCTCTGTGGGTGTGAGACGAGTGCTGGGTCCCATGCGCCTGCCCTCCCTGCCTACCTCTGCATGCGGCTCCCCTTCTGTCGTCTGGCTGCCTAGGGCTGGCCTTCCCACCTGTCCCCATTGCAACGGCCCCGCCCCGCTGGGCTGGGTAAGCCTCCAGGGCAGAGCTTCAAGAGCCCAGATGGGGGTTCGGGACCTGAGTCTCTATGCTGCCCCACCCTGAACCCCTCGCTACCGCCTTCCCTTCCTGCCCTAGGGAGTCAGGCAGGGAGTGGGCTGGCTTCGGAGCCAGGCCGGCCCTACCTCAGGGTAGACTCCAATGAGGCTCTCGGCCTTGGTGTAGAACTCCTCCTTGAGAGAGATGACGATGGCCTGGAAGTTGCAAGTCGACTGCTCCTTGATGTAATTGGCCACCTGTGGGAGGAGCCACCAACACAGCAGGGCTGAAGCCCTAATAATACCCTGTGTTTTCCAGTCAGAACCAGAGGCAGAGGAGGTAGTTCAGGGGGATGAGAACTGAGAAGAGGCCACTGACTAGCACAGTGTGAATGACCCCGGGCCCAGCCTCTCCAGCTCAGAGAGCAAGCAGCAGGAAGAGCTAGGGCTCACTCAGGAGCTGCTCCCCGAAACCCAGCCCCAATCTAGGGGCCTCCCTCCCAGGCCCTGCTTTCCTTGCACCCACCTTGCCAATGTTGGTGTTATCCAGGGCAGCATCAATCTCATCCAGGACGAAGAAAGGGGCTGGCTTGTAGCTGAGAGAGAACCAGTAGGTGAGCTGCCACAGGACAGCCCCGGGCCCACCACATAGACCAGCTTCCCCTCCACTTCTTCAGAGACTAAAATCCCAGGCCTTAATGTTCCCCGAGCCCCTAAGGCCAAGAGACCAACTGAACCCTTTTCTGCATCCAGCCCTGTGCTCCTGGATCCTATAGAACCACAAGACATGGTCCTCTCCGGACCTTCCAGGCTGGCTGGGGAGATGAAGCTGTCCTAGGCTCTGGCCGTACTGACCGAGCTACCTCGAGGTCTGCCCTGCCCACCTGTACCATGCTCTCATGTCTCCCTGCCTGCATGCATTCTGCACTGTCCACCGCGAATGCCTACTGGTCTCCCTGGCCAATTTCTACTCATTCTTTACATTTCCTGCTCAAGTGTTACTTACTCTACCTTTGAAAGCCTTCCCTGGCCACCCACACCCTTCTCCAGATTGGGTTGGTGTCCCTCCTCTGTGCATCCACAGCACATGCTCACATGGTTACAACATAGCTAACTGTCTACACATCTGGCTTCTACCAAACCATGAGCTCCTTGACAACAGAGATCACATCTCTGTCCCTGTTGCCCCCAGAGGATCTGGTATAGAGCAGCCCTCAAAAAATATTCACTGAATGACACTGTACAATCAAGCACTAAGTTGTGGGGGTCAGATTCAAGTACCACTGGCATTCAGGAGGGGAAGGTCAGCGTATGCCACAGTGGTCAAAGCAGGCTTCCTAGAGGAACAGGAGCATAAAGGGGTGGTAGGTGACGGTCGAGCTAGATTTACAAGGAAAAGGCTGATCAGCTAGCAACCACGTGAGCAAAAGCCTGGTGGTAGGACCGAATGCATGCAAGGGCCAGTGAGGGCACGCCGAGTGGATGAGGGTGGATGAGGGTGGATGAGAAAGACAGGTCCAGGAAACCAAGGCCAGATATGTTGTAGTAGGCAGGGAAACCAGGACACAATCCAGATTCCACCAGAATATCTTCACCTCTGCAGGTCTCTGCATATCCTTGGGCCCCAGAGTCTCCAGTGGCCTCAGTTCAGTCTCTCTGCCAACTGCCCCGGAGGCCACAGCCTTACCTATGAATGGCAAAGAGCAGGGCCAGAGCTGCCACTGTTTTCTCCCCTCCTGACAAGTTATCCATAGGCCGGAAGCGTTTGCCAGGGGCCACACAGTTGTAGTTGATGCCGTCCAAATAGGGCTCCTCCGGGTTCTCAGGGCCCAGGAATGCCTGTGGGGCAAGGCAGATGGGTGAGGATCTGGATGGGGATGGGGATGGGGACAGGGAGCCCAGAGGGAAGGGCAATTGAGAATGACAGGGGCTGGCTGGGTAAGGGGCTCATCTACCTGGGCACTGCTGTTGCGGGACAGGGCCTTGTAGATCTCATCAATGTTGGTGGCCACAGATTCAAAACAAGCATTGAAGCGGTCAAAGCGCTCCTTCTTGATCTGTTCAAATGCCTGCTTGGCCTTCTTGGCTCGCTTTCGGGCTGCCTCAAACTCTGCCACAAGGGAAAGACAGGTGATTCCTCAGTGCCTAGGCTCAGCCAAGGCTGAGGATCATGCCATCTGACAAGAATGACCTGCAAATGACAATCCACAGAGCAGGGATATCCCAGAGGGAGAGATGAATGCCTGGGGAGAGTCCCAGGAAGAGAGTCCCACACCAGCTGTATCCACTGGGCTGACCACACTGTGCAAAGGGAAAAAAACGGGCTTGGAGCTACATAAACATGGATTCTTGCCCTGGCCAGTTTTGCCCAGTGGTTAGAGCGTCGGCCTGCGGTCCAGAGAGACCCGGGTTCGGTTCCCGCTAAGGGCATGTGCCACGGTTGCAATTTGTCCCCGGCCCTGGTTGGGTTGTGCGAGTGGCAGCCACTCGATGTGTTCCTTTCATGTTTATGTTTCTCTCTCTCTCTACCTCCCACTCTATCTGAACAAAAAAAATTGAAAAATGTCCTCGGGTGAGGATAAAAAAAAACAAACAAACATGGATTCTTCCCTGGGCTCTACCAGCGACTGGCTGTGTAACCTTGGCAGGTACTTCGCCCTCTCTGAACCTCGGCAGTATTCCATTCTATAAAACAGGTGTGATCACCCCTACTGTTTAGGCCTCTTGAAAGTTTTAAGTAAGAAAGCATGTAAAAACAGGAGCTATTGGGATGCATAATATAGGCATGTACCACACCTGCAGTCTCCTGTCTTCATCTTAGGCCCAAGTGAAAGAGGGAAATCCTACCATCTGAGGTCTCCTGGAACTTGTCTCGGACACTTTCCAGCTTTTCCATGGCCTTCATGTTGGGGGCAGCGATCCGCTGTAGCACACTCTGCTGCTCATTTAGCTTCTGCTGCAGTGTGTTCATCTCCTGCTTGATCTCCTCCTCAGCCTGGGCATCCTGTAAATCCCAGGCCCAGCAACATCAAGAAGGGCAGGTCCCCGAGCCCAGGCCCCCACAGAGATGCCTGACCACGTGGGGACCTGCTCCTGAGTAGAATTCAGGTTCCTCCCTAGCTCGGTCCCTCCCATGGTAACCATTCCAACCATCCCTGAAAATTACAGGCTGATGCTGCTTTCTCATCTCTAGCCCTTCCCCCAAGTCCTGTCAACTTCTCTGTCTCTCAAGAGGAGCAGCTGGTGGTGCCCCTCTCTGGCTCTCAGCCCAGGCCATGAGCCAGCACCATCCCAGGGTGACCTAGAGGCTCCCACACAGGCCGGTCTGGACTGTACAATAAGGCAACTCGGTTTCCTGTCCAGATCACTACATCTGAGTAAATCCCACTTGAGTTTAGTTTTAGGTTTTATGGATATTGCAGTGCATGTCCGGGCTTGTGCCTTTCTGCCACTTTTAGTCAATAAATATTTACTGAATGCCTTCCAAGTGCCAAGCACTGGGGCCCTCAGAGTCTGTGAGCCAAGGTTCCTATGCTCACAGAGCTTACAGACTAACAGGAATGCGTGTAAATAAATAATCAGAATACTGCATGGTGATTCCAAAACTACAATAAACCGACATGTTGGGTCAGCACACAAGAAGGTCACCTAACTCAGACTCTGGGGCCAGGGAAGGCTTCTAGGAGTATGTTTAAGCTCAGGCCTACAGAATGAATGGTGAGGTCAGAGAGAAAGAACAGGCTTCTAGGCAGACTAGAGCATCATATGCAAAACCAGGGGTTTGCTTGTGGTTCATTCAAGGAATTCAAAGCAATTCAAGAGTAATCAAGCTCTGGCCGGTTTGGCTCAGCGGTTAGAGCGTCGGCCTGTGGTCCAGAAGACCAGGGTTCGGTTCCCGCTAAGGGCATGTACCTCGGTTGCAGTTTGTCCCCGGCCCTGGCTGGGTGGTGTGGGTAGCAGCCACTTGATGTGTACCTTTCACGTCAATGTTTCTCTCTCTCTCTCCCCCTCCCTCCTCCCTCCCACTCTATCTGAACAAATAATGAAAAAAAAAAGAAACAAAAGAGTAATCAACCTTAATAAACTTCACTGGGTGGAGATGGGCAGGGGGGTGGGGTGGGCAGGGGACATGTGCAATAGTGTCAGCAACAACAACAACAAAAACTTCACAAGTGCCCAGTCGGTGTGGCTCACTGGTTGAGAGTCAACCCATGACCAAGAGGTCGCCAGTTTGATTCCCAGTCAGGGCACATGCTCAGGTTGTGGGCCTGATCCCTGGAGGGGGGCATGCAGGAGGCAGCCAATCGATGTTCTCTCTCAAAAATTTTTCTCTCTCTCTAAAATCAATAAAAGAAAAATTTTTTTAAAAAAAGTAACTTCAAAAGCCTCCCCCACCTCATAGAAAAGGTAATTCAATATGGCAAAAGTAGCAAATGTGTGTGCATGTGTGCGTGTACAAGTGCACGTGTACTGGAAAGAGGTAAGACTGGAGGCACAGGTGGAAGCCCGATGATGAAGGATCCTTTAGGTCTTGTAAGAGGTTTAGACTTTATCCAAAAGAGGTGAGGCTCTACTGTATGACTTTAAGCACAGGAATGACATGAATATATAAATAAATATATTTTAGAAAAGCCCTTCTGAAGATTGCTAAATACCAGTGTAAAGTAGTCTCCAGGATATGTTAAATGAAATATGAAAGGTACACAATACAATGCTATCTTTTATCTGAGAGAAGAAATATGAATATATTTGCATACAAATGTATTTGTATTTTAAAAGCACAACAACAAAACGATAATCCAAAAACTAATTAAAATGGTTACGCATAAAGGAAGTGAGGTGAAGAGGACAGAAAAGGAAGCTAAACTTCTCTTCTCGTACCTTGTACTATCATTTTGGTTTTAGAGCCATATGAGGACTACATAATTATAGGACAAAATTAAATCAAAATGTGAAAAACACTGGATAAAAAAACTGTTGGGTGGGGGTGACGGAATAAAGGTAAAGGGATTAGCTACAGAACGTGCATGCACACCCATGGACATGGACAATAGTTTGGTGAAGGCCAAGAGAGGAGGAGGTGGGAGAGGTAGAGATGGGTGAAGGTGGACAAAGAGGGGGAACACCTGCAATAATGTCAAAATTAAAATTTTTTAATAAAAAAATACATTTTTAAAAATTCTGCCCTGGCCAGTTTGGCTCAGCGGTTGAGCGTCGGCCTGCGGACCAGAGTCCTGGGTTCGGTTCTTGCTAGGGGCACGTACCACAAAAAAAAAAAAAAAAGTTTTAAAAATTCTTGGAAAACTCTCAGCAAAGTGGGCATAGAAGGATCATATCTCAACATAATAGGGGCCACTTATGACAAACCTACAGCCAACATCATACTCAATGGACAAAAACTAAAAACATTTCCCCTTAAGAACAGGAACAAGACAGGGATGCCCACTTTCGCCCCTCTTATTTAACCTAGTACTGGAAGTCTTAGCCACAGAAATCAGACAAGAAGAAAAAATAAAAGGGATCCAAACTGGAAAGGAGGAAGTGAAACTGTCATTATTTGTAGATGACATTATATTGTATACAGAAAACCCTAAAGACTCCATCAAAATTCTACTAGATTTAATAAATGAATTTGAGCCCTGACCGGTTTGGCTCAGCAGTTGGAGCATCAGCCTGCAGACCAGAGAGTCCTGGGTTCGGACTCCGCTAGGGGCATATACAAAATAAATAAATAAATTAATGAATTTGGCAAAGTAGCAAGATACAAAATCAACATCCAGAAATTGCTGGCATTTTTATACACCGATAATGAACACACAGAAAGAGAAACTAAAAAACAATCCCATTTACCATTGCAACAAAAAAATTAAGATACCTAGGTATAACCCAGCCTGGAGTGGCTCAGTGGATTGAGCGTCGCCCCATGGACTGAGAGGTCCCAGTTCAGTTCCTGGTCAGGGCACATGCCCGTGTTGTGGGCTCGATCCCCAGTAGTAGGGGGCATGCAGGAGGCAGCTGATTAATGTTCTGCTCTCACATCGATGTTTCTCTCTCTCCCTCCTTCCTCTCTCTTTAAAAAAATCAATAAAAAACATATTTTTTAAAAAGCCACTTTTGAAACAACTAGGGAATTCTGAATATGGGCAGGATATTAAATATGAAATTACTAGTACTTTTCTTAGGTATAATATAGAATTGTGGCTATGGAGGAGAATCCCTTGTTCTCAGCATGAAATATTTAGAGTTGAAGCCTGCAACTTCCTTCAAATAGTTCAGCAAAAAACAAAAAAAGTATGTAGTGTGGAGGGAGGGAATTGAGATGAGAGAGAAAGCACAATGAAAAAATATTCATTAGTGAATTTAAGGTGAAAGTTGTAAGGATGTAAGGATGTTCACTGTACTATTCTTTCAATTTTTTTACAGGTGTGAACATTTTCAAAATTAAAGTTGGGAAAAATCAAAATGCTAAAAAGAGAAATCCCTTAGAAACTGAAAAGTAATCAAAGAAACCTGTTTATATTAAGTTGGTTACACTCAGAGAATTCTTTCAAAGTACTTTAAAACACAGAAGCACAACTGTACATGCCCAATGACCTATTAGCTTAACAACAAAAAAGGAAATCTTAAACAGCGTTCAAAAATTACATTGTTAATAATAGTATTTTATTGTGATTTCCAAACTATTACAGAATAGGATAAATATGTTACTATGTTAGTGTTGCTAGGAAGATTTTTAACAAAAATAACTGGAAACTCAAACATAAAATCAGTGATGTTGAACTGTGAGAGTTACTACTTAAATTGCAAGTATCAATATAAACAATACATTTTCCTTCAAAATAGAAAAATACACATTTTGTAGTCCAGTCTACCAAAAAGTTCTAGAAGCACCAAGCAACCCAGCTGTCATGAGGACTCCAGTGTCCAGACGGTAGTCACTAAATAATAGCATTTCCTACTAAAAAAAGTCAGAGTTTATCAGAGAAATGGCTAATTCCAGGTTTGGGGTAGGAAATGTAGAGGATGAGCCTGGAAGTACCAGAAAGCAAGGAAGATACCGACGACTACAAGAGTTGTGTCAAAATGATTCAGAAGCCAACTTGAATAAGTTCTCACTGGTCAAAGATGTGACAACTTGGTCAATACGAATAATCACCACACACAAAAGGTGTTTAAACCCCTAAGTTCATAATGATAAGAAAACAATTCAGTGGACAAATCTTGAGAATACCATAGAAACAACTCTTTATTTTATAAAATGATAATAAAGGAAAAGAACCAAACATATGTATCCTGCCTTTCCTATACAAACTGTACCTCAGGGTAACCAAATAATTGATGAAAGGAAATCTCTCTTTACACTACTCTAGCTAATAAATAAAGAAGAAATTCTTTCTTTTAGAAACACATTCTGAAATATTTACAAAAGAAATGACATGATGTCCAGAATTTATTTTTAAATAACCTGGGGTGGGAGAGAAGGAAGGAGCGTACGGGGGTGCACAGCAAACAAGTTTGGCCACGAGTTGATCACTATTGAAACTGGCCGTGGCAACATGAGATAGCACTGTATTATTTTCCTTCTGCATATGAAATTTTCCATAATAAAAATCTAAAAATAAGGACAAAAACAAAAATCAACTTGAAACGGTTCCCACTGGCCAAGGATGGGACGATTTGAACATCGAAAAGGAAAATAACTCCAATAGACTGAAACAGATAAAAACACATTTGAATACTTATGTTTATAACAAATACAAATTAAAAACCTCATTGGTCACCTTTAAAGGTTACGAAGGCAACCAACTCATTCTAAGAACTGGTAAATAAAGGAAAAACAATTAAGTATTTATCCGACCTTTTCTATATTAACTACATTTCAATGGAACTAAATAGATGATGTGAGGAAGTTCTTTTTAGATACCCCATTAATAAGTGGAGGAGGGATTAAAAAATAGAAAACTACCATTTTGAAACCCTTAAGGAATCTAGGCAACAATCATGAAGAGCTGCTAAAACCAACTCATGAAAGGCCAACATGGAACTTCATAAAAATGGATAAGGCTAGTAACACCTAAACCTAGTTAGTAATCATGGCTGTTTTTCTATTTTTCAAACATACACAAAATGCAGAGACTATAATGAACTCCCATGTACCTAGTACTCAGCTTCGGTAATCATCAACTCATGGCAAATAATCTGCCATCTCTACCTAATTCAAGTATTTTATTTTATTTTTTTGTACAGACAGAGTGGGAGGGAGAGAGAGGAAGAGAGAGAGAGGGAAACATCGATGTGAAAGGGACACATCGAGTGGCTGCCACCCGCACGACCAACCAGGGCCGGGGACAAATTGCAGCCGAGGTACATGCCCTTAGCGGGAACCGAACCCGGGTCTCTCCGGACCGCAGGCGGACGCTCCAACCGCTGAGCCAAACTGGCCAGGGCTAATTCAAGTATTTTAAAACAAATCTCAGATATATCATTTCATCCATAAATACGTCAACATGATCTCTAAAACAGGGTTTCTGAATTTCAGCACTACTGACATTTTGGGCCAGATGCAGTTTCTGGGGGGCTGTCTTGTGTACTGTAGGATGTTTAGCAGCATCCCTAGATGCCAGTAGTAACCTCTGCCCCAGCTGTGACAAGTGGGTATGAGGAGTATCTCCAGAAATTACCAAATGTCCTCTAGGGATGCAAAATCCACCCCACCCCACCCCTATTTTGAACCACCGCTGTAAAACACTGGACGGTTTAAAATAAACACCCAATACCATTAACTCGACTAAAAACATTAACAGCAATTCCTGAACATTATAAACGATCTGGTCAGTGTTTAAGTCTTCTTGATTCTTTTATAAAAAAAATTTACAGGTTTTCAAGGCAAGTTCCAAGTAAGGTATACACATTGCAACTGGTTGATATGTCTCTTAAATCTCATTCAATCTGTAAGTTTCCTTTCCTTTCTATTCTTTGCAATGAATTCAAGGGAGGGCCACATATTCCAATCAGTTGATCTGTCTCCTACAGTCTATAAAAGTTCTCCCACTGTATTTATTTTCTTTCTTCCCATTTATTTATGGAAGAGAACAGGTCTTTTGTCCTTCAGTTTCCCAGTCTAGATTTGGCTGAATGCAACCGTGAGCTTTTATTTTACACGTTCCTCTAGCACTAGCATTTCTTACAATTTATGGACATAAAAGGTTGATCAAATCCTTGAGTTTTAGGCAAGAATATTTCATAAGCAATGCTGAACAATGATCAATCTTATCATGACAGAGACAAGACTGACATCAGTGCCCACTGCTGCAAAGCAAAAGGAAGTTCACACTACACAGCACCACCTATGATGGATTCTTGGCAAAAATAAAAAATGAATCTGAACTCAATCAAACCCTAGATTTAACTACTACTTTACAGGAAATACAGGGGATGGAAGAACATGTTAAATAACATCATGGGACATAATCAGCCAAATTTGGAATGTAGAAATTGTGCAGGTCCAATGACCCAGTTTCTTCCATAAATAGGAAGAAAAAAAATGTTATAGACTAGAAGAAACCAATTCTAACATATGGACCTCACTTGAATCCTGATTTAACACACAAACTGTGCAAAGAAGAAGAAGAAGAAATTTATGGGACGTTCATGAAATCTAAACATTTACGAAGTATTAGATGATATTATAGAGTTGTGGTTAAAATTATTTTTGGTATGATACTGTGGTTATTTTTTTCAAAGGGTCCTTCTATGAATGGAATATCTGGAATTTGATTTAAATAAAATAGTCCAATGGGGAGAGGGAAGGGTATAAAAAATGAGATTGACCATATGTTACTAATTGCTGAAGCTGGGTGATGGATACCTGGGGGTTTCTTATAGCATTCTCTATACTCCTGTGTACATTTGAAATTTTCCATTAAAAAAAGTTTTTCAAAAAATCAAGTTGCCCTGGCTATGATGGATTAGAAAACATCAGAAACTATGTAAGAGACTCCTGCAGTAATCCATGTGAGTAGTCCCAAGTGGCCTGTACTAGTGGGAACAGAATAAAAGAAAATTCAATAGCTACTTAGGAGTTAGAATGGACAGGCCTTGGTAATTCACTGAACAAGCAAAGTGAGAGAGGGAATCAAGGATGAGTCACAGATTTCTGGTCTGAACCTATGGCTGGCTCTGAGAAGGGGCAGACTGGGGAAGGAGGGCTGGAGTTTGAGGTACCTGTGGGACTAGCATAGAGATGGCAGCTGAAGGCAGGGGAGTGAAAGAAAGACCCAGGATGACAGAAGCAAAGAGTGCCCGGACAGCGTGCTGAGGAACCCCCAAGATCTATCCGTTCGGGAACCTGCTGTGTGTGTGTGTACCAGGGCTGACGTAAATGCATGGAAGGGGAAGACAAGCAGCAAGCAGGGTTGGGTGCAACTTGGGACGTGGGTGTGTGTGTGTGTGTGTGCAGGTGTCTATGTGCATATAGGGAGACACCCTGGATCATAACTCAACCCTCCCTCTCTTGCCAGCTTGCCCTTCTTTCTGGCCCTGGTCTCCAGAGGGCCCCAGATGAACTGACCCTCGCTTTGGACAGTTGGGAACCCACAGCCTGAGGCTGATCCTTACCTTCAGATCCTCACATAGGTCACCGTAGTCAATCTCGATGAGGGCCTCTCGTGCATAGATGCTAGAAGTTCGCTGAGAACCACTCACTGAATCCTCCCCCTGGGAGCTACCCTGTAATGACAACAGAGAGTGGAATGGAACAGACTGGCATGAGAGGGCCCCTCTAGGAAGGGCTGGGGGCTCCTTTGCAGCCTCCATTGAGAAAGCACCTTGTGGCAGGACAGCAGCTTTGAAGGGAGAAAGATCTGAGTTTAAAATTGGGTTCTATCACTGCTTAAGGGTGTGGTCCTGGACAAGTCATGCTGTCAGATCTGAGTTCTCTCATCTGTAATGTGGGGCAATGCCGGCCTGACAGAGCCGTGGTTCAGATTAGGAGTTATTATGTCATGTGATACCATGAGGCCTGGTGCATTTCTAGTGTTCAAGATATTTTGCTGAATCAAACTGAAATGCTATTTTGGAAGAGGGGAGGGAGAAAGACATGTGGGGCTGAGATATACATTCAGGTAGAAGGCAAGACCCACACAAACTTCCTCCCAGTTAACATTCCCCCCCCTCACTACCAAGCTTCACTTTCAGTAGATAAAACACCTTGGCCCCTTTATCAGCTAGTGTTCCTCCCTTTCCTATAACCAAGCTTCGTCACCTCTGCATTGCTGATGTCCCTTACCCAACCCTCTCCTGGCCAACTTCCTTCACTGCAGCTAAGCTATCATCCCTTAGGTCCTCCAACTTCCAACTTCCTTTCCTCTTGGCTAATGTCTCTCAATTCCTACTCTTCCCACCATCCATCATCTGCCTGGAGCTAACTTAGCTCAAGTCTTAATGAATGATTTCATCTTCTGGCTCACCTCCCTCACCACCTACTGACATACAGCTCTACCCCCCGCACAACTTCCCTCTCACACCAGGCCACTGCCTGTCCCCTCACCTATCTTCATAGCCTCACCCTGCCATCACTCTCGTCCCTCACCACCCTTCTCTCTCCTGCCCTCCCTGGCCACTCTCACATTTTCATCCCCCATCCCTGGTTAATGTTGCTCACAGCCCACTCCGAACACCAGCTGTGATACTCACCTCTTCCTGACTAATATCGTCCATGGTGCCCCTAGACAGTGGCAACTTAATGTCTTGCATCTTACAGGCCTGTAGCAGGTTGTGGCGGTCACTGCGCTTCTGTTCAAGCTTGGTCTCAATGGCTGTCACCTCCTTCTGTAAATGGGTCATTTCCCTAAGAAGATCCAGGGAAGAGGTGAGATTCGAATTCAGCATACTGCCTGCTTTACCTATGTGCCCAACCCCAGGTCTGAACCCACTCACTTGTTAGCGCCCCCCAGTTTTTTACGAATCTCCTCCATCTCGTGATTCTTATCATTCACCTCTGACTTCTTGGCTAGATGCTGATTCTTCAGATCTTGTAGCTGGGCCATGGTCTCATCTATGATCTTCATGTGTCTTTGCTCCTCCTGGTCACAGCAGGGGAAACAGGACAAGGGGTGACGGCTTTCCTTCTCTCTTAGGATCTTCTCCCTTTGTCCCCACCTTTCCCACCAGTTTGTTGGAGCCTCTCTTCAATGAGCTCTGCTTTCACAAACCCCCCTCACCCTCAAGCTTCTTTTATCTTATTCTAATTTATCTAGTTGCCCCCATTTGATCAGTTGTCTACTATAGAAAAGTTCAAAGTATAGAAAAAGTATTAAGCAGGGGTACAAAAATCACTCATAATCCCACCAGCTAGAGATAACCAGTCAATATTTTAGCCTATTTCCTCCCAGCATTACTTACAGACAGCTCTACATAGTTGACACTAGATTGTAATTAAAACTCGATATTCTGACTTAATGTTATACTTGAGCATCTTTCCACATCATAACTGCTGTTGTGAGCTACATAATAACATTAATTTTTTTAAAAACCCACACAAACAATATGGTGTATTTTTTCTATGAGTACACATATATAAACGTAGAAGTATTCAATCAATAGCTGCAGGTCTGCAAGAATACACACTCCATGGGATTAGTCCTGGGAAGAGCGAGGGGATTGGGAAGGAGTGGTCAAAGGGGACTGTAGTCTTACTTATAATGTTCTGATTGTTTAAAAGGAGAATGTTTTGTTTTCATCTTGATCTTAAAGTCACATAAAGAGGACATATTGACAACTTACTATCAAATGGCTCATAAAAAAGAACACACATACACAGAGAGTACGCAAAAGCAAATATGGCAACACGTTAATAACTGATGAATCTTGGTGATGGATAGATGGGAGTTCTTTGTACTATTCTTATAACTTTCTGCTACATTTTAAATGATTTCAAAATTAAAAGTCAAAAAATTATTAAAATATATGATTCTGGGTCATCTAGATATCCATCTAGTCCTGCCCCAGGATTTTACTGCCCAATCTGCATTTGCATTTAAAATTCTGGTGACCCCAAAGACTACTTTCACCATCAAGGTTTAATGAGAAAAAAACCAATAACAACATAGGCAGACAAAGAAGTCATAATATGTTCAAACCAAATGAGGACCAAAGTACCTCCGGAGGTGATGCTACGAGGAGCAAAGATTTCACAGGAATTAAAGAGAAGGGGTGTGGGAAAAGCAAGTCATCAGGTTATACCCAGTGGCACAGGCACACTCAACTTAGAGGAACTTAGCTGTGGCAGTTACTATGAAAAGGGACTCGGTTTCGGCTGAACACCATCATCTGGTGCACTGAATTAACGTGGTTAATGATAAAATTCAATTTGTAACTGTCTTGGTTTTCTGGTTAGATGTCCCAAATGTGCAGAGTGGGGCAAAAGTAGCTTTAAAGTTGTGAGCATGTGAAACAGTTTACTCTTGTATTATTGTATGTGCCATACAAACAACTGTACGTAGACCTATTTTTGCCCAACCCTGTATATGTTTAAGCAGTATTAAGGATTTTTAAAGATCTCAGGAAAAATCCTTTAAACGGGGTCCATGTATTACAGAAATTTTAAAAACATTAAACTACACAAATACTTGTACGAAAGTAGTATAACTTGCTAAATTCCTAATTCCCAGGGGCACTGGATAGTTTCCCATATGGAACTAGAAGTGCTTGTAATAAACATGAACCTGTGTGCACAAAACTGTGCCAGCATTTTGGAATTCCTCAGCTACCACTGAGTCAGAGGAGAGAAACATATTCTCAAGACTCTTGATGCATGGTGCCACGTGGCTTAAGAATGCTGGTCTTGCCCTGGCTGGTTTTGCTCAGCGGTTAGAGCATCGTCCCTCAGACTAAAGAGTCCTGGGTTTGATTCCGGTCAAGGGCATGTAGCTTGGTTGCGGTTCGTCTCCGGTTGAGGTCATGCGAGTGGCAATCAGTCGATGTGTCTCTCTCACATTGATATGTATCTCTCTCTCCCCCCTTCCCACTCTATCTGAAGATAAATGTAAATATATATATACACACACACACACATCTCCTCGGATGAGGATTTAAAAAAAAGAATGCTGGTCTAGTGCGCCATGGGCAGTATTGAGCATTAGTCTTTTTAAAAAAAACTCTTGGGTAATGTGATGGGAAACAAATTACGTCTGATTATTGCTTTAATTTGCATCTCTCTGATTTCCAGTAACTAAATTATGTGTATGTTTATGGGCTACCTGAATATCTTCTTGAACCGTTTCTGCAACATACACCTTTTTATGTCCTACTTAGGTCTTGGTGTTTTTCTTCTTTTGATTAAAGCTTTATAAATTATGGATATTATCCTTCTATCATATCTCTTCCAAGTTTTCTCCCTGATTTTAGTCTGTCTTCTCATGCCCTCCTTCCTTACCTTCTTGAGCTTTTCTATCTCATTCTCATCCTTTTTCACTGTTTGCTCCCACATGTGTACTTTATCCTGGTCCTCCTTCAGTTGGTTCTTTTCAAAATCCAACTGGATGCCCAAGCGAGTCTTCTGATTCTCAAACTCCAAACTGTGGGGAGAAAGGAGAACTAGGCCCAGGGCGTAGGGACCCAGGGTTACTGCTGAATTTCAGTCACCACTCAGCTCATCCATCCACACCGACATAAAAGTGTTCACTGAAGTTGGAGAATTAAATTCCTCAGCCTAGCCTTGTGGAAATGGCACAAGCCAGGGGAGACTGGTCCAAAATCCATTAGTTTCCCTTTAAACACTGGAGGACCCCAGAACCCCCACCCCCCAGCTTCCTAGATGGAAGCACAAAAAGGTCCACCTCAACCTACCAGCTATGATAATTCCTATTTATTAAGCTTCTGTGTACTTTGCATACATTACCTCTAATCCTCTAATCAACAGCTCTACAAATAGGCATTATTATCCTAACTTTACAAATAAGAAAACTTGGGTGAAGAGATAGAAGACTTTGCCCAAGGTCACAGAGCTAGTAAATGGCAAATGTGAGATTGAAACCCAGGTCTAGCACCGAACCCAGGCTCCTTCTCCTAGGGCACTGGTCCAGTCTAGTGTGGTGGGATAAGAGACTGGTATTCCAACTCTGCCATTCACTGGTAATGTACTCTTGGGCAAGTTAGTCATCCTCTCCATGCTTCTGTTTCCTCATCTGTAAAATGGAAATAACAGTACCTACCCCAGAGTCACTGGGAGTTTTTTTAAATGAGTTAATATGCATAATGTCCTTAGAACCATGCCTGGCACCCAGTAAGTACTCAGTAAATTTTACTTACCATCATTATTGCCAGGTATTCAGCTCATATTGACTCCTTCCAAGTACTGCCCCACATGCACACCCCTACCCCGAAATTCCAGAACTTCTAAGGGGCAGAGCTTGGGTAGTAAAAACCAAGGAGAAAATACTAGATTCCTGCTATTTCCCTCCTCCCCATCTCTTCAGAAACTCAAAGAGCATGTAACCAGCATACAGATACTAGCAGGCCAGGCAGAGCAAACTTCCAACGGCCCCACACCCCCCAATATGGTGTAACAGATGCTGCCAGATGCCATGCTAGCAGTTTAAACCTATTAGTAACTATAATCTAAATGGAATGTAATTAACTCTATAATTTTGAGCCATGCAATTTTAAGTCCAATCTCCTAAGCATGACTCATAAAGCCCTCTGTGATCTGGCCACCGCTGACCTCTCCACCATCCCTGCCTTCCACCTGACCCTGTTTCTATGCTCCAGACATTCAAAACTATTTAGTTCCCAGAACAAGGCGTGGTCTCTCACACCTCTGGGCATGCTGTTCTCACTGCCTGGGACTCTGCTGCCCGGCTGGCTAAATCCTACTCACTCTACAGGTCTCCATTTCATCATTCCTTGTTCTGTAAAACCTTTCCTGAGGGCTGTGAGCAGGTTCTTAGTTTCTATTATACTTTGTTGGGTTCCTCCCTTTTTGGCCCAGTTCAATTAATCACATCCCACAGTTCCTCACACACTTATGATTGCTGTCTGTGCAAGGCCCCTCCTTTGTCTTTTAGTCCAATCCCTGATTTTCACTCCCATTATCTTCCTTACAGTGAACACATACTCCAAGACAACACACATACACGCACACACACGTGTGTATATGTATGTGTATATATATATATATACACATACATACGTATATAGCCTTAAAATGCACATCCTTATAAAATGTCATTTTTTTTAAATTTACAAAAATGCATGATGCTATAAATTTATCCATGGTACTGTCTATAAATCCAGTACTTGCTTTAAACTGCTACACAGTATTCAATAGTCTGTATAGTCATCACATTTAACTTATAGTTTCCCCAATGATGGCCATCTACACTGTCACCAACATCCTAATACCAAATTATGACTGTTCTGAAATTGCAGATCTAGTTGTTTGTCTCCCCTACTACGCCATACCTCAACTCCCTGAGGCCAGGGACAGTCTCTGATTCAATTCTATATCCCTTGAGCTTGGCTTAGTGGTAGAAGAGCAAGGAATATTTACTGTATGGGTTACGAACTGTCGACTGAGGCCCAGGGTCCAGTAGATGAACTCCTTCAGGGAGACTATTGTGTTCGTCTGTCTTATCCCCATCTCCCAACCCCCTCCAATACCTAGCACAGGACGACTTGGCACAACATAGGTCCTCCAGAAAGGTCTGTTGAACAAATCAATAAACTGAATGTGGAAGAGAACTGTTGTTTTGTTCTTACCATTTTTCCAACCTAGAACCTCGTTCCTCTTCCCCTGCATTGTCCATCAGGATAATAATAATAAAAGCTCATATTTATTGCTTTTCTTAGGTGTTAAGTATTATGCTAAATACTTTATAAGGACTATTGTACCTGATCCACCCAACAATGCCACGAGACAGGTGTCACTATTCTCCCGCTTTACGGATAAGGAAACTTAGGCTCAGAGAGATCCGTCACTCCAACAGGAGTTGTGGAGCTGGGATTTTTACCCCAGGGAAACCATGTGTAAAGCTGGAACTCTTAACAACTAGACCATGCGACACCACCTCCCTAATGTCCCTGTTCTCTAAGGCTGACCTACAATAAACGCCCATCTTTCTAGGAGCTGCTCCCTGCTTTGTGGCATCTGACTTTCCAGGATACCGGGCCGGGGTCTCACAGGCACTTACCGCTTCTTGGCGATTTCATTCTGCCTCTTCACTTTCTCTTCCTCAAACTCCCGAATGTTACGCACACCAATCTCCCGACAAAACTCTTCAAACACCTCGTCCTCTACCTGACAGAAGCAAAGGAGGGCAAAGGCCCTTTGGGTCAGAGTGCTGCTTCCAGCCCCAGTCCTGCCCCAATGCACATGCTGGCATGGCTCATCCCCCACCAACCTGGTTCATCTTCTCCTTCAAGTCTTTCATTTCTCTCTCTCGACTCTGAATAATCCTCTTGATATCATTGATGCGAGGCCCAAAGTTGGCCAGTTCGCTCTCCAACTTGGACTTTTCCTGCAGGAAACGGGGTTGAAAGGGTAAAGAGACCAGGTGCCTTAGAGGAAAAGAGCCACCATAAGCACCCTGGCGCCATAGACACAAAGGGCTAGCTCTCCACACGCTGAGAGGACGTGACTTAGCACCAAAGCCCCATCATCTCTCGAACTACCACACAGCTTCAGGTATGTTTGAGAATTCAGACTTTTTGATTTTAGAAAAAGGCAAAACTATATGTATACACACAAGTACACATACCCATCACATTACCGAACACCTCCATGGTGGTCTGGGGAAGCACCTCGTGATCAAACATATTAACCTATCTAGAAGAGTACGCTCACCCATAGGGACTGAAATGCCTAAAGCTCGCTTTCAATTCACTTTTAGAAGAAGCTCAAATATTTATTAAATGAATAAATTATGCTAATAATAGCACCTAACATTTACTGAGCACTTACTGGGAGCGAAGAATCAGTCTAAGTACTTTAATGTACTAACTTTCAATCTTTACAACGACCCTATAAAGTAGGTAGTATTCTAACTCCCATTTTACAGCTAATGATAAAAGAAACTAACACCGAGAGATTAAATAACTTGAATATTACACAGAGCCAAGATCTGAACCCCTGGCTGTCTGACTCTATGCTCTATACTTGGTTCCCTGGAGCACCCTGGGAGGAGAGAGGGAAGTATGACAAGTTCCCTACCGCCTGAGAAACCCAAGCCAGGAAAGGGAAGATTGCCTTTCGAAAACAGGGCTGAGGCCAGACCCCACCTGCAGATTCAGGGCTAGATGCCGTGTCTTGGTCTGTTCCAGGTCACTCTGAGAGTACTTGAGCCGCATCTGCAGTCCGTGGGCCTGAGACTGCACCTGGCGTAGCTCTGCCTCTTTCCGCTTTGCCTTCATCTGTTCCTGACGTGAACAAGAACGGAGGGCGGGGTGGTAAGAAGGTGGCCAGCCTGAGCTTAGGAACCCCCTCCTAGGGTCAGTGCTGCCTGTGGCTTACTTTTAGCTCCTCTGTCAACCGCTCCTTCTTCTCTTTCAACTTGTCAACCGCTTTCTCATCCCAGCGCCGCGCCTTGGCCTTCAGGTCACTGGCCCCACCAGAGATCACTCCTGACTTCTGGAACAGGGTCCCATCCAGTGCCACTGTCTACACACAGGAGGGAGAAGAGAGAAGGAGAAGTTGAACAGAGGAATCTCCAATACTAAGCCCGTCCAGCTCCAATCTGAGCAAGGGAATCCATACCTTGTGGCGCTGGTGGCCTCCAAAAGCAATGCGGCGGGCATCCTCCACGTTGTCACAGACAAGGGCATTGCCACAAGCGTACTGCAGGGCCTTTTTGATGTGAGGTGGCTCATAGCGAATGACATCAATTACCAACTTGGCCCCCTTCAGCTCCCGGAGTTTCTCATCTGTAGGTTTCACCTGTAGGAAGAAGCTCAGTAGGTAGCAGAACATATCTGGTGCTTTAGCTTTTTGCCTTTCTACACCGCTTGTCTCTAATGGCCAACAGGGCTTGTTTTTATAAGTTCTATGGGACCGTAGCACAGAAAGAAACAGAATCTAATTGTCTATTAATATAAGGCTCTTGACCCCATCCCCACCAGCCTCACCTCCAGGTAGTCAAGAGGTAAGAAGGTCTCAGGCTCCCCACGCTGCTCCTTGATATACTGAATGCAGTCCCGGCCTGTCTTCTCGGAGTCCACGATAATGGCATCCATGTTCTTACCCAAAACCTTGGTTACAGCAATCTGATACTTCTTTTGTGTGGGCTGGCAGAGGTCAATGAGGCGGCCGTACTGGGGAAGTCAGAAAAGAAAACTGAAGCATGAGACTTTGGGAGCTGGCTCAGAAGCACCCCGTTCCCAGCTTGGGCAGATCAGAATCTGTATCAGGAACATAGCCCCCAGGTTATGAAGAAAAAGCCTACTCCAGGCCCAAAGCAATGACGACTTCAGGCGGTCATGTCTGCATCCAAAATCATCTTTCTAAACCTCACTTTGACCATTTCACAGACCACTGCCACCTGACACTATACCAGATACCCTATACACATCATTTCAAATTCTCACAAGCACCCAGCAAAAGAAACCTCTTTTCCCAGTTCATTCTGCCCATTCTCCCCAAACCAACCATGGTTCCCTAAGAATTATCAGATAAAGAGAAAGATCTTCAAGGGCAGACACTGAGCCTAGTTTGCCCAGCAGTGCTAACTAAGTTGAATCCAGGGATGGGATTACAGCAATAGAGGGGTAATATTCAGGGAACCTGGGAACTAAGGACTTGGTTCAAGAGGCCAAGAGTATTGATCAAGCCTGGCGAATGAGCCAGTTGGTACATAGCAAGGGAGCTCATATTGAAGCCTGCACAGAACTACTTCCTGGGAGACTAATTTCTGCCCCATGGCCCCTCCACCTTCCAAGGGCCTCTCTAGTTTTCCCGCCTCCCATGAAAGAATGGACACAGCAAGACAAAACCTTCAGGAAGATGCAGTTGGTGTAAACTGCAGTTCTTCCACTCATAATCTGTGCTCTTTGGGGCAGGTTAATTTAACCTTCATCTCAGTTTCCCCAGCTGTAAAAGTGGCAATAGCAATCCTATCCTCATAGGGCTGCTGGGACAATGACCAGAGTGTGAAAGTGAGTGCTCAGGAGATGAGTTCTCTCTTCACTCTTACCACAGAGCCGGGATACAAGCGTTTGATGCTTTCCATAATCTCTGCCTTTCGCTGTTGGCGGCTGCTCTCCTGGCGGTCGATGCGGGCATCCCCCAGCTGCTCCATCACTTGGTTCAGCTCCTTATTGATCTCATCAATACGCCGCTTGGCCATCTCCACCTCCTCTGTCAGCTCCCCTTCTAGCTTCTTCTGCTCCTCTAGAGATTGCCTACAAAGTAAGGTTACCCTGGCTGGTCAGGAAATACTCCAGGCTGAGGGCCTAGGGGTCCTGCCTGGGGAGGGTCAGGAAAGGCAGGGTTCACAGGAATAGGCCTGGAAATAAGAGGGAAGGCTGCAGAGTCACATACTTGCTAGTCGTGATGTATTCCTCCAGTTTCTCAATCCGCTTCTGATTCTCTTCAATCTCCCGCAGCTTTTGCTTGATCTTGGCCTGGAAGAGAGACAAATATACTCCATCACCAGGAGCTGAGCAAGAAAGCTCCAAGACCATGAGGCCCAGGCTTACAGCGTGCCTGCTTATCCAAGAGCCCAACAGTCCAGGACAATCTGTCACTATTGCAGGAGGCTTACTAAAAAGCGGGCACACAGACAGTGCTCAGTGTGGCTCTGCTGACGGGGCCTCCCAGGGCCTGATGAGACCCAGCGTGGGCCACCTTCCTCATTACTTGGGACAGCTCAAGCCAAGGTCAAGTAAAACTTTGTGGGCCTTTTCTGCACCTGTCTTCTCATCTGTGAAATGTAGGTAACTTCCACTTCAGAAATACATATTAAGTGCTTAATATAAGGTAGCTATTAATATTAATGCTTAGCACCAAAAGAAGTGCTTAGCAAAATATGTGGAATGCTCTAAGCTCTTGGGGTAGTATAACAATTTTCTCTTACTGTTATTATTTTACTATCATCATTATTAGGAAGGCAGTAAATGACATATACTTGATAAGGCTTTAGAGGTAGATTGCTCAGGTTCATATCCTGGTTCTGCCACTTAATAGTGAGGTGACCTTAGGCAAATTGCTTCACTCTGTGATATAGTTTCCTCGTTTGGAAAAAAGAGAAATTAAATGAATGAATACATGTAGAGTATAGTGCCTACCACACAAGTAAGTGCTTGCTCGATGTTAGCTATTGTCATTACAATTAAGACTATCATTACTTCCTTTTCTCTGGACCATCAGCCCCAATCCTGTAACATGCCCACCTCTGTCTCTACTTTCTTCCGTTCTTCCAGATCCAGCCGGTCCTGGTCAGCTTTCTGGTCTCGATTGAATTTCTCCAGCTCCTGGGCCAGGGTAGCTGCTCTCTTGCTGGCTTCTTCTTTCAACCGGTGGTATTTCTTCACCTGTGTTACAGACAGGGAAGGAAGATACAGATGACTGTCAGCCCATGTCAGCCCAGCAATCTCCCCATCCTCCGCCACAACCCTCCCAGAGCTTACCTGATTCTCCTCCAGGGTCAAGTCTCTGCCCTGACTCTGACTCTCCTCTTCCATCCGTTCCTCAAACTCCTGCCGGGCTTTCTCCACCGACAACATCTCCTTTTCCAGCTCATCCATGTCACCTTTCCGTTTTTTGTAATGCTTCTGAGCATTCTGTAGGGACTTCTTGGCTGCTTCCAGCTTCTTGATTTTGTGGGAGGTATTCTCTTTAGCTTTGATATACTGAGGCCGCTTCTGGTTCAATTCTGAATCCTTTTCCCTTTTGCCAGAGGTGAAGAGGAAAACCAGTCAACACTGCTGGAGAAGGGAGGGTTCCTAGACTTTTTACCCAAAGAAAGGAGGGCCTGAGCACCACCGCAAACGGCCAGTCTTAGGAAATTGCCTAAAAGAATGACAACTTGATGCCCCACAGATCCTCAAAAAAAGAGGTAGTCTGACTACTCCGAGGAACCTTCAGCCTGGCATTCCAGGCACTCCATAGGTAAAGCTACCACCCTGGCCTCAATCAGCCAGGCCAGAACCCTCAGTAACAACTCTGAAAGTATCCCTTGTTCACTTAGCTGTCCCCCATCTGATCTAACCTTTTAAAAGTCCTGTCCCTTAAACTTCTAGCTCCAGTTTTCCTCTTCTAGGAAGGCATTTCCAACCACTCAGTACCTGGGGTTCTCATCACTCCCTCTCGCTTGGCAAGTCACCACCCTTTCAAGGTCTCCCTCTTCTGAGTACCTATGTACCTGAAGCCTAAGTACTTATATACTCTATTTGTCTAAATGCAAGTCAAGAAATGTACCTGGTTCTGGACAAAGCAAGTCAAGGGGAAAATAGAGAAACTAGTATGGGCGCTGAACTCCAGGCTCAGAGAAGCCCTAGGAAACAGGACAACCTCTTGGTTTCCCACTAATTACACGCCCAGGCCTGCCTCTTACTTGATCTCCTTCTCAATCTGCTGCTGCTCCCGCATCATTTTGCCCAGCTCCTTCTTCTTCTCCTTCAGCTCATCCTCTACCTTGTCCATCCGCTTCTTGTCCTTCTCGATCTCCTTATTCTTAGAGGCCAGTTCCTTATTGAGCTTCTCAATTTCCACTTCATTATGATAAAGCTTAAAGAGCTGCAGCTGCACCTGAGCTCGCACCACCTCATCCTTCAGGCGCTGGTAGCGGTCGGCCTGTGCAAATAGGGGCACGGAGGCAGTAGGTGCATCAGTAAGGCACTGGCTCCCCATCCTGGCCTCTCAGGGCCCAGAGGTAGCCTGGCCACCTACCTCTTCTTTCTCCTGTTTGGCCTCCTTGCGTTCTGCCGCGATGTTTTTCTTTCGATGGTAATTAAATTGTGTGTCCTCTTCAGCTTTCACCATCTCCTTCTTTCGCTTGTCATACTCCTGGGCCAGCTCTCCAGAACGACTAATCTCTTCAAATAGAGCTGTCCTCTCTTTGGGGTTCTTCATGGCAATAGACTCCACAGCACCCTAGAAAAGGTGGAAACACTCCCCACTTAGACTCTAGCCAGCCCAGTTCCTCCTACCTACTCTCACTCAATCATTCAAGGTCACCGACCCCCCCTTCCCCACACTAGGTGCTGCAGTTCACATTGAGCTCTGAGGACACATTGCCAGCCTTTTGAGGTACACAGGAAGCAGGAGACACAGAAGCAAAGCCAACACCATGTATTATATGCAGTGACAGAAGTAGCACAGAACAGGACTAAATGAAGCTTGGGAGGAGGAGACTGGTAGGAGTGTCTACATGGAAAGGCTTCGCAAAGGTGACATCTAAGCTGAGTTTGGAAGATAGGGAAGAACTAACCAAAAAAAGTGAGAGAGACGAAGTTATTCCATGTAGAGAAAAATGAATGTGCAAAGGCCCACAGGCCAAAGAAAGCAGGTGAATTTGGGAACAATAAATGGTATAATTAGGCTCAAGTACAGACTTGGAGGGTAAGATCATTGGCAGATGAGGTGAGTAAGGTAGGCAGGAACCAAAAGATGGTGTTTCCTGGTCCTGGCTAGTTTGTTTGTTTGTTTGTTTTTATCCTCACCCAAGGACATTTTTCCATTTTTTGTTCAGGTAGAGTGGGAGGGAGAGAGAGGAACAGAGAGAGAGAGAGAGAGAGAGAGAGAAACATCAATGTGAAAGGGACACATCGAGTGGTTGCCACCCGCACGACCAACCAGGGCCGGGGACAAACTGCAACCGAGGTACATGCCCTTAGCGGGAACCGAACCCGGGTCTCTCGGGACCGCAGGCTGACGCTCCAACCGCTGAGTCAAACCGAGCTGAGTCAAACCGGCCAGGGCGGTCCTGGCTAGTTTGGCTCAGCAGTTAGAGCATCAGCCCAAGGACCAAAGAGTTGTGGGTTCGATTCTGGCCAAGGGCACGTACCTCAGTTGTGGTTCGTCCCGGCCCTGGTCGGGGTCGTATGGGAGGCAACCAGTTGATGTGTCCCTCTCACATCGATGTTTCTCTCTCCCTCCCTCCCTCCCGCTCTATTTGAAGATAAATGGAAAAATATCCTTGGGAGAGGATTTAAAAGATGGTGTTTCCTGAAGGACAGGAGTTTGGATTTCATACTAAGGCAGTGGCTCTCAAATTTGAGCATGTATAATCATAACCTGGAGAGCTTGGTAAAACACCCCATAGTCTCTGAGTCTATTGGTCTAGGATGGAGCCTAGAATGTACACTTCTAATATGTCCCCAGTTGATGCGGAGCTGGAGATTACAAGGGCCAGACTGGAGTTGGGAAGCCCAGTGAAGAAGCTGCTACATTAGTTCAGGGCAGAGAGGAAGCCAGGGATGGAGCAGGCCCAAGCGCTGGCAAAAATCAGAGAGCCAATAATTATTAAAAATGCCCACCTGGAAGACGAGGAAGTTACGAGCTTTGATGAGAATGCCCAACTTCTCTAATTCCTCACTGTACTCATGTAGCTGGACCACTTTGTTGTTGATCTTGTATTCAGAGGAACCTCCTAAAAGGCAATGCATGAGTTGGCCAAGGGTCAGGTCTCCCTCTCTCCCCAGCCAACTAGTCTAGCCACCTCCCAGGACCCAAGGCAAGCCTTCTGGCCAGCCTCACCTACCAACAATAACACGGGCAAAGGTGCGGTCCTCAGCACCATCCTCAGAGTAGACCATGCTGACAAAGGCCCGGTTGGCAGCTGGTTTGCCCACAGGAGCTCCATGGATCAGATCTCTCAGGGTCTTTACTCGCAGGTTGCTGGTTTTTTCGCCCAATACAAAGCTGATCGCATCCATGAGATTTGACTTACCTAAGGGTGGAGGGGACAAAGAAGAGGAGGGGAACTCAGGAAGAAGGGAAGTGGAAAAGGAATAAAGGAGATATTGAGAGGAACAGGAATGTTCCCTATGCATTCAGTTCTCAGACTCACGGGAGGAGAAAATATTGCTCTGCTTCCCAAAAGACTGAGTCCAACCAAAGCCCTGGGTCAAAAGCTTAGAAAAACAGTCTCTCTACAGTTATTACTTATAGCAGTCAAAAACTAGAACCCCATCTAAGGAAAAGCTATATTTACAGAATAGACTATTCTACAACTTTTGTTTTTTTGTTTTGTTTTTGTTATTTCTTCCCGGAGAATATTTTTTCCATTGATTTTAGAGAGAGTGGGAGGGAGGGAAGGAGGGAGAGAGGGAGAGAGAGAAACATCAATGTGAGAGAGACACATCAATTGGTTGCCTCCTGCATGCCCCAACATGGGCAGGGATCAAACCTGCAACCCAGGTACGTGCCCTTGACCGGGAATCAAACCTGTGACCCTTCGGTGTGCAGGCTAATGCTCTAAACCCTGGGAAACACCAGCCAGAGCTGTTCTACAACCTTTAATGACATGGGAAAATGCCCACAATAGGAAAAACAAGCAAGACACAAAACCCAATATAGTCTGATCTTAACCAAGTTTTAAAAAAACACAAGGCTGAGGGAAGGGAATAAGGAATTGTTTAATGGGTAGTGTTTCAGTTTTGCCAAGATGAAAATGTTCAGATCAGTTGCACAACAATGTGAATGTACTTAACACTACTGACCTGCACACTTAGAAATGGTGACAATATCCTGGCTGGTGTGGCTCAGTTGGTTGGAGCATCCCATGCACCAAAGGGTCACAGGTTCAATTTCTAGTCAGGGCATGTACCCAGGTTGGGGGTTCAATCCCTGATAGGGCATGTACAGGAGGCAACAGATGGATGTTTCTCACTCACATTGATGTTTCTCTCTCCCCTTTCCTCTCTCTCTAAAATCAATAAAATCATATCCTCAGTTGAGGATTTAAAAAAATAATAGTGGTGATGAGGGTAAATTTATGTTGTGTATTTTACCACAATTTTTTTAAAAGGCACATTCCTGCCCTGGCCGGTTGCAGTGGTTAGAGCGTCGGCCCGCGGACCAATCAGTCACAGGTTCAATTCTGGTCAATGGCACGTACCTCGGTTGCGGTTTGTCCCTGGCCCTGGTCGAGTCGTGTGGGAGGCAACCAGTTGATGTGACTATCACATCGATGTTTTTCTCTGTCTCCCTCTCTTTCTCCCTCCCTCCACCTCTATCTGAGGATAAATAGAAAAGTATCCTTGGGTGAGGAATAAAAAAATTTTTTAAAAAAGGCACATTCCTATTGTGATATAATATGAAGGACACAGCATCATCTACGAATTATCTTGTCAAAAATATTTAACCTGAATTTAAACAAGTCTTGAGACCTCCCTTCAGGTTGACAGGAAATACAGCAGTTAGAGGAACATGGTAAATGAGACCATGAGGAAACCTTAAGACAAACAATGTGGGATGTTCTACAAGACAACTGGCCTGGGATTTTCAAAAAGTCAGTGTCAAAAAAGAAAGGTTAGGAGAACCATTCCAGAACTCTAGAGATTACAGAGACATAAGCAAAGGCAGTGCACAAACTCTGATTGGATTTTGTTCCCAAAAAATCCCCCAAAAGACATTTTTGGGAGCAATTAAGGAAGCCTGAATATGAACTGGATGATTGACGACATGAGGAAATTAATTTTCTTAGGTGTGATAATGGTATATTGGTAACACGGGAGAATGGTTTTAGGAGATGAATGCTGAATCCCTTTGGGGTAAATGTCATTAAGTCTACACTTTACTTGCAAATGGTGAAGCAAAACTCACATGTATGTTTGAAATTTTCCATAATAAAAACTTGGGGAGAGGGAAAGGCACAGGAAAAAAAAATGAATATGTAAATAGTATAACAGTGGGCACTTCTAGAAAGGAAAGTAGGTAACAAGTCATGGAAGTGATGGATTCTTCTTCACCCTGGCCAGTTTGGCTCGGTGGTTAGAGCATTGGCCTGCAGACCAAAGAGTCCCAGGTTCGATTCCGGCCAAGGGACGTACCAGAGTTGCGGTTCGTCCCCGGCCCCGGTTGGGGTCATTTGGGTGGCAACCAATTGATGTGTCCCTTTCACATCAATGTTTCTCTCTCTTTCCCTTCCTTCCACAGTCTGAGGATAAATGTAAAAACAAAACAAAAAAAGAGAGAGAGATGGAATCTTCTTTTTACTGTACATGTTTGGGATTTTTTGAATTTTATAACATGTGCATTTATTAGCTATTCAAATAAATAAGTATGATTTTTTTTAAATCCTCACCCGAGGACATTTTTTTGCATTTATCTTCAGACAGAGCAGGAGGGAGAGAGGGAGGAGGAGAGAGAGAGAAACATTGATGTGAGAGAGACACATCGAGTGGTTGCCACCCATATGACCCCAACCAGGGCCAGGACAAACTGCAACCAAGGTACATGCCCTTAGCAGGAACTGAATCCAGGCCTCTCTGGTCCACGGGCTGACACTCTAACTGCTGAGCCAAACCAGCCAGAGCAATAAGTATGAGTTTTAACATTAAGAGTGGTCATCTCTTCAGTAGAGAAGTCACAGTTTTTCTTTCTTCAGTTTAGACTCAGAAAAAAAAATATTTTAAAAATTAAGACTGGGGCCCTGGCCGGTTTGGCTCAGTGGTTGGAGCATCGGCCTGCAGACCAGAGAGTCCCAGGTTCGGTTCCCACTAGGGGCACGTACCAAAATAGTAATAATAATAATAATAATAATAATAATTTAGACTGGGTTAGGGGGTGGGGAACAGTTTAATCTCTATAAATTCTATCTCAAGATTCTCCAAACATGTTATGTAACTGAGAACTGAGGACCTGATTTCCAACATCTATCTACTACCCAGCTATAAAAATGGTAGCCCGGGTCCTTCCAGGGAGGCAGTACAAGACAGATTAAGGGCTTGGGTTCTAGTCCAATAGATCAGGTTGTAATCTTAGTTTCACTGCTTCCTACCTGACCTTCCATTCCCTCACCTGGAAAATGTGAAAAACCATGACTCGTGGGTAAAACATCGACAACAATGCTTGGCACACAGTTCTCTGTCGGGAGTGGCAGGAACAGAAGCTTTGACAGACTTGAGTTGTGATCCTGGCTCTGGGAATCAGTAGTGATCACAACTCTTTGTGCCTCAGTCTCTTCATATACAAAAGAGATAATGGGATCGCCCTCCTAGGGTCATTGTGATCATTTTGATGTAAAAGATCCCAATAAATAAAGTCCTTAATACACAGTAAGTGCTCAATAAATGGAAGTCCTATTCTAACAACAAGTCTGGACTCAGCAATGTCTCCCTCATCACAGCAGAATTAGCACATCATGCAGACCAGGAGTCAGCCTTTTAGGCCCCCATTCCTAACCTTTGGGCTTCTCCCATGCTCTCAGGGGACGGTAAGAACATTACACCACTAAAGGCCTACCTATTCACAATCATTCAGTATTATAAACATTTTTATAACATGCATTATGAGCTAAACAGTGATAAATGTTTTAATAAATGTCTTCTTTGGGACACTCATAGACCAGTGATGAAGATAGAAAAACATACCATGAGTATAAGACAGGAGAAAACATGTATCAAGTTGCCTACTGCGTGCCAGAGAAGAGCAATTCACTGTGGGGAAACAAGGAATGCCTTGTGGAGGTGAGCATTAAAGAATGGTGGTAAGGCCCTGGCCGGTTTGGCTTAGCGGTTAGAGCGTCGGCCCGTGGTCCAGAGAGACCCGGGTTCGGTTCCCGCTAAGGGCACGTGCCTCAGTTGCAGTTTGTTCCCAGCCCTGGTTGGGTCATGCGGGTGGCAGCCACTCGATGTGTCCCTTTCACGTCGATATTTCTCTCTCTCTTCCTCTCTCTCCCTCCCGCTCTGTCTGAACAAAAAGTAGAAAAATGTCCTCAGGTGAGGATTAAAAAAAAAAAAAAATGGTGGTAAGGCCTGGCCAGTTTGGCTCAGCGATTAGAGCCTCAGCCCGTGGACCAAAGAGTCCAGGGTTCAATTCCGGCCAAGGGCAGGTACCTCAGTTGCAGTTTGTTTCTGGCCCTGGGTCATGTGAGTGGCAACCAATCGATGTTTCGCTCTCTCTCCCTCTTGCTCTATCTGAATAGAAATGTAAATATCTTCAGGTGAGGATTAAAAAAATAAAAACAAATGGTAGTAAGAGGGGCAGTCAGACCAAGGGCCTTTTTTGGAACAGCTGGGTATACAAATCTACCCATACTGAGGGGATTGAATGCCAAGAGGTGTATCCTCTTTCCACCACACCCAAATCCTAAGAAACTGGAGTGGAACCTTAAGCATTAGCCTTCTAGGCCAGAGGTTGGGAGGGGGAGTGATTTTGCAGCCCCCAGGGGACATTTAGCATGTCTGGAGACATTTTTGGTTGTCACACCTGGGGGGTGGGGGTGCTGCTGTCATCGAGTGAGTAGAAGCCAAGGATGCTGCTGAAGCTAAACATCCTTCCATGCACAGGACCAACACCACAGCAAAGAATGCCCCTGTTGAGAAACCCTGCTCTCCACTGAGCCAAACATAGGGAAGACTCAAAGGGAGGTCAGTTAGAGCTACTTCAACAAAGGCAGCCACCTCAGGCTAGGAAATGATTTAGCTAGAACAACACCTGGGTGGAGGAGCACAGCAGGATTCCAAACAAACCCTTGAGGGGATAGATGGAAGGAATGATGATGTATCATTTAGAGATAGGGAGTTAAAATATGAAATAGAGGCCTGATGGACCACCCTTTCTTTTTTCCCCCCAGTTTTATTTTAATATAACTGACACAGCCCTGACCAATTTGGTTTAGTGGTTGGAGTGTCAGCCCTCGCACCAAAGAGTCTTGAGTTGGATTCCGGTCGAGGGCACATAACTAGGTTGCAGTTTGGTCCCCAGCCCTGGTTGGGGTTGTGATGGAGGCAGCCAGTCCATGTGTCTCTCTCACATCAATATTTCTCTCTCTCTCCCTCTCACTCTCTATGAAGTTAAATGAAAAATATCCTCGGGTGAGGATTAAAAAAGAAATATAACTGACATAACATTATATTAGTTTCAAGTGGTTCCATATTTGTATATACTGCAAAATGATCACCACAATAAGTTTAGTTAACATCCATCACCTCACATAATTACAATTTTTGGTTGTGATGAGAACTTTTAAGATCTACTCTCTGGCTCTCCCTTTCCCCTCCCCTCTCCCCCAGGCACATTACCATTCCCATCCTTACCCCCAAACTCCAAGGGCCCTTCCTTTACCTCTGTAACTTGTTTCCTAAGCCCATTTCTTCTACAAATTACTTCTATCTCTGTGATTTTCCAAATAAATGTTCTCTTATAGTTTGGGGGGGGGGGCGACGCTCTAACCGCCGAGCCAAACTGGCCAGGGCTCGCTTAGCAACTTTTAAATGTACAATACAGTATTGTTAACTACTGACCACTCTTTCTATTAGCTACTGACACCACCCAAGTCACTGTATCACATCAACCTGTTTCATTTCCTGCACAGCACTTATCACAGCTGAAAATTATTTTATTTTCTTTCTTTATTATGTTAAGTTCCCTGGGAGCATGACTTACTCTATTCTCCCGTTTCCACAACACCTTGCATAATTCCTTATGAGACAGTAAACATTTAATAAATTTGGTAAGCAAGTTAAGTCCTAATCTTTTAGCGGTTTCAGTGAGAGCACAGAGGCGAGCTCGAGGCATCCCCACCTGAGATGGCGGGGGCGGGGGGTGGGGGGCGCGGGAATGAAGGGTTGAGACTGCAGGTACTCTGGAGATGCAAGCGCTGGGTCTCAAATTCAAAATTGCCCGCCTCCAAAGGAGAGTTTTTTTTTAAAAAAAGAAAAGGAGCAAAATTGGAGCGTACCACTGTGAGGGGGGGCGGATTAAATGTACCGTTTGGGACCAGAGGCCACAGGAGGGCTACCAGAGGTCCCATATCTTCCAGAGGGTCAAACGAAAAGGGGAATCCAGCTGGCAGCGGACGTGGGACTGCCACTTTTGGCGGGAGGGGACAGAGAGAGGGGAACGTCCAGTCCGGAGCGTACCACTCAGGCGAGAGAGGGGGCCGCACAAAGAGCAGGCAACTGACACCTGGGGAGGAAGTTCAAGTCAGAGCTCCGGAGCAGTAAAACTGGTTTAGACTGAAACCCTTAAGGAAGGGCAAGAAACCTGCTAAGGTTCGCGACATTTCAGGTGGCACGGGCTGGGTTCTACTATGATCCCGGATAGGGGTCCAGGGCGGGACGTGCGCAGGGCCGCAGGGTTTATCTCACCAGAGCCATTGGGTCCAATGATGGCGGTGAACCTCTGAAATGGTCCGATAATCTGTCGACCCTTGTAAGACTTAAAGTTCTCGATCTCAATCAATTTCAGGAAACCCATGACGGCGGGGGCGCCGGCTGCGGTACGAATCGCCGCGCCGGACGCCGGGAACTGGAGTACCCTGCGCGGGAAACACCGCAGTGCAGGCCGGGCGGATAGCAAACCTCGCGAGAATAAGTCCAGACCAAACGCGATTTCCGGCTTCCGGCGTGGGCGGGAGCCTGGGGCAGGGCCTTCCGGCTGGCGTGAAAGTTTTGTTGACCGGTTGCCAGGGTGCGAGCATTTGACAAACGTTTGGGTCCCGCCCCCTTTCTTGTTGCTTGGCAACATAAGCCACACCCAATACTAACGGAATAGGAAAAGTAAGGGCTCCTGGAGCACAGAAGATTTGGGGATCCCAGGAAGCACACGGGATCGGAGATCATAATTGCTGAGATGAGTCAGAAGTCACAGTAGGGTTTTATGCTCTCCAGGACAGGAGGAAGGTGGGAGATGGGTTGTGGCTTTAGCCTGGCCAGTTAGAAGGCTCAAACAAGAACAGGGTCGGGAATTAGAAGGACACGGGGGAACTCTGGACTGTACGGGAAGAAGGGGCCAGCGGGAGGATTCAGTATTAGGTGAGCTCAGACCTTGCTGTGGGTGGAGGCGAAGTGGAATGAAGTTAGAGGTTGGATGGGATGTGAAGGGAGATGAGGGTACTGTGGAGCGACAGGCATATGGGCTGGAGAAAGTTACGGCTAGAGGTTCTGCCCCATCCCCTGTCTCCCTCCTGTTCCTCCATGCAGAGTTCAGAGACTGACGCTGTAGTCCAACAGCAGTCGTGGACCTGAGCCACTGGTTGGCTACCTGAACCTAGACTCCAGCTAGGAGCTTCAAAGTTGGGAGTCCTTGCTGAGAAAGGTATTTTTTGTGAACCCTTGGGAATCAGGGTCCCAAAGCCAGTATTCTCCACCTTAAACCTATATCCTTCTTACCTTCTCTCCACATCCTTTCTCTTTATGCCTCACCCCTATCCTGTTCCCTCCTCCTCATCCCCCTCTGCCCCATCCCTTGCTTTCCCCTTCCTCTTTTTTTCTCTGCTCTGTCCTCGACCCCTGTCAACCACCCTGTTGCCCTCCTTCCTCTTTCCTTCTCTGCCCCCCCAACTCTGCCCTCTCTGTCCGTTTCCCCTCTCTGTTCCCCATCTTTTATAACCCTCTCCTTCATCACCGTATACCTATTCATTACTAAGGCCATGACCTTAGCAGTTCAAGAAGCTTAAAATGTCTGCCTACTCTTCCCTTTCAGTGACCTTATATTGTGGTGACAAATAAAATGAGTAGGCTGGGGTTGGTGCTTAAACTTAGACATGGAAAGAATCTGGTGGTTGCCATAGCCATTCCGGTAACTATTTTTTAAATGATGTCTGGAGGATGAGAAGGGTCGTAAAGGCTTAGGACAAGTCCGGGAAAGTGAGAAAGCTTGGTTGACGGAATCTAGTACAGGAGCCATAAATGATGTTCAACTTGGAGAAACAGTCACCATCAGGCTGAGGGGATAAAATGACCAAAGGACAGCAAGCTGATAGGAAATGGAACTTGGGGCGGGGGAATCAAATTGAATCCCTACCTCTCAAACCATATACAAAATGCAATTCCAAATGGGTTGAAAACTTAAATGAAAAATGCAAAACTGTATAAATTTTAGAAGAATACATGGGAGAATGTCTTCATGACCTCGGGATTTCTTAAATAATAAAAGCTTTTATCAAACATCATAAAGTGAAAAGACCAGCCACAAATTGGACATGTTTGACACATATAAACTAAGAAATGATTGTTGTGTAGAATACATAAGGAGCTCCTAAAATTAATAAGAGCAAACAACCTGATTTTTTTTTTTAAAAATGGACAAAAGATATGAATGGACACTTAGGAGAAGAGTAAACAAAAATGACCAAAACACACATGAAAAGATGTGTAACCTCATTAGCAATAAGGACAATTCCAATTAAAATAGATAATTATGCCTTGGCGGGTTTGGCTCAGCAGTTAGAGTGTCGGTCCATGGACTAGAGAGTTCTGGGTTCGGTTCCCACTAGGGGCGTGTACTTCAGCTGCAGTTTGTCCCTGGCCCCATAGGGTTGTGTGGGTGGCAGCCAGTTGATGTGTCTCTCTCACATCAATGTTTCTCTCTCTCTTCCTCCCTCTCTCCCTCCTGCTCTATCTGAAGATAAATGCAAAAATGTCCTCAGGTGAAGATTTAAAAAAAATAGATAATTATACTTTTATACCCACAAATGGGCAAAAATGTAAAAGTCTGCAATGCCAGGTGTTAGTGAAGATGTGGAGTGCCTGGAGTTTTTTTAATTCATCACCCAAGGATGGAGATATATATATATATATATATATATATATATATATATATATATATATATATATATTTATAGTTTAATCCTCACCTGAGGATATTTTACTATTTATCTTCAGACAGAGTGGGAGGGAGAGAAAGGGAGAGAGAGATAGAAACATCGATGTGAGAGAGACACATCGACTGCCTGCCTCCCACACGACCCCAACCAGGGCTGGGGACGAACCGCAACCGAGGTACATGTCCTTGGCTGGAATTGAACCCGTGACTCATTGGTTCGCGGACCGTTGCTCTACCACTGAGCCAAACCGGCCAGGGTGAGGATATTTTTCTATTCATCATCAGATAGAGTGGGAGGGAGGGAGAGAGAAAGAGAGACAGATAGAAACATCGATGTGATAGAGCCACATCGACTGGTTGCCTCCTGCATGAACCAGCAAGGGCCAGGGATGAACCATAACTGAAGCACATGCCTTTGACCAGAAATCGAATCTGCAACTCATTGGTCCTCCGGCCGACACTCTAACTGCTGAGCCAAACCAGCCAGGGCTGGAGTGCCTGGAGTTTTTATACATCATAATGGAGGTGTAAATTGGTACAGTCTCCTTAGAAAACAAATTAGGACTATCTTGTAAAGTTAAATATGCTTTAAGTGCTAGCATCCAGCACTTCCACTCCTAGGTACATGCTAGAGAAACTTTCCCACCTGTATATATGCTTTTTATTTTATTTTTTAAAATAGTTTTCTTTATTAATTTTAGAGAGAAGAAGGGAGAGAGAAATAGAAACATTGATGAGAGAGAACATCAATCAGCTGCCTCCTGCACACCCCCACTGGGGATCGGCCTGCAACCTGGGCATGTGCCCTGACTGGGAATTGAACTGGTGATCTTGGTGCGTGGGTTGACGCTCAACCACTAAGCCACATCAACCAGGCCCAAGAATATTTTTTCCATTGATTTTTAGAGAGAGTGGAAGGAAATGAGGGAGGGAGAGAGAGAGAGAGAGACATAGATGTGAGAAAGACACATCGATTGGTTGCCTCCTGCAACCCAGATATGTGTCCTTGACCTGGAATCAAACCCAGGACCCGTCAAGGCTCAGGCCGACACTCTAACCACTGAGCCACACTGGCCAGGGCCAGAGTCCTTGTTTCTCTTAAATCCACTTCAATCAGGCTTTCATCCCCACAACTCTACCAAAAATGTTCTTGTCATGGTCATCAGCAATCCTAATATTACTAAGTCAGTCAATTCTCAGTTCTCTTCTTAACTCATCAACAGTTGCTCACTCTCTCCTCCCAAAAGCACTTTCTTCACTTGGTTTCTCTGACACTACACTCCTGGTTTTACTCCCACTTCACTGGTTGTTCCTCCTTCGCCTACAGTGCTGGCTCCTCCTCTCCATGCCTCCCCTGGGACATTCTTTTAATCCTCACTCGAGGACTTTTTTGCATTTATCTTCAGATACAGCGGGAAGGAGAGAGGGAGGAAGAGAGAGAGAGAATCATCAATGTGAGAGAGACACATTGAGTGGCCGCCACCCACAGGACCCCAACCAGGGCCGGGGACAGACTGCAACCGAGGTACGTGCCCTTAGCGGGAACTGAACCTGGGACTCTCTGGTCCACTGGCCGACGCTCTAACTGCTGAGCCAAACCGGCCAGGGCACCCCTGGGACATTCTTATCTATCTACACTCACTCCCTTAGTGGTCTCTTACAGCCTTTATAGCTTTAAATTTCTTTGTATCAGCCAGGATAGGCTACATTATGCTGAAGTTACAAACAATCCCCAAATCTCAGCAGGTTATAAAAATAAACATTTATTTTTCACTCCTGCTTCTTGTCCACTGTAGGTTGGCTGCATCTCTGCTCTGTGTCATCATTCCAGGACCGAGGCTGAAGGGGCAGCCCTTACCTGGGACATTGCCAGTCTCATAGCAGAGAGTGAAGAGAAAAAATGGCTGTCACCTAATGGCTCTTAGTTCTGCTTGGCAATGACACATGTCAATTCTCACACTGGAAAGGGCAAAGCAAATCACTGGCTAACCTTGAGGGCAATGAGATAAGGATGTATAATCCTTCTATAGGCCCAAATTTTTTTTTTTGTAGGCCCAAATCTTCGAAGTTATTTTGTTGTTGTTGTTAATCCTCATCCGAGGATATTTTTCCATTGATTTTTAGATAGAGTGGAAGGGAGGGAGGGGGAGAGAGAGAGAGAAAGATGAATGTGAGAGAGACACATCAGTGAGTTGCCTCCCTCATGTGCCCCAACTAGGGCCAGGGATTGAACCTGCAACTCAGGTATGTGCCCTTGATTGGGGATCGAACCCGTGACCCTTCAGTCCACGGGCTCGTCACTCTGACTGCTGAGCCAAATCGGCCAGGGCTTCAAGTTATTCTTGATACTGTTCTCACAGCACATATCCAATCCATCAGAAAGTCCTGTCAGGTCTGCCTTCAAAATATTTCCAGAATCTGACCACTTTTCACCACCTCTGCTGTTACCAACCTGGTGTGAGTCACCATCATCTCTTGCCTGGATGATATAGCCTCCTGTCTGGTCTCCTGGCTTCTAGCCTTGCCTCCCCTACCCCGAGTCTATTCTTTTTTTAAAAATTGTTTTCCTTTGTTGACTTTAGAGAGAGAGGAAGTGAGAGGGAGAGAGAGATAGAAACATCGATGAGAGAGACCATCTATTGGCCGCCTCCTGCATGCCCCCCACTGGGGATCGGGCCCACAACCCGGGTATGTGTCCTGACCGGGAATTGAACCGGGGACCTCTTGGTGCATGGGTTGATGCTTAATCACTGAGCCACACCGACCGGACTCCCCCAGTCTATTCTTAACACAGCAACCAGAGTCGTCCTTTAAAAGGCAAAGGCAGCCTGGCTGGTGTGGCTCAGTGGTTGAGCATCGACCCATGCACCAAGAGGTCGCTGGTTTGATTCCCAGTCAGGGCACATGTCCAGGTTGTGGGCCCGATCCCCAGTGGGGGGCATGCAGGAGGCGGCCAATCGATGTTCTCTCTCATTGATGTTTCTATCTCTCCCTCTCCCTTCCTCTCTCTCTAAAAATCAATCAGTCAATCAATCAATAAAAGGCAAAGGCAAAACACGTCACTTCCACTGCTCAAAATCCTCCAATGGCTGCCCATTTCTCTCAGTAAAAGCCACAGCCTTTACTATGGTTTGCAAAATCCTAAATGCTCTGGCCCCTGCATTATCTAATGACATTTCCTACCAACTCTTCTTTACTCCCACCCTTGCCTCGTGCTGTTTCCTTGAATGTGTGTCCATCTTAAAGCCTTCTCACTTGCTGTTCCCTCTGCCTAGAGTGCTGTCCTAGATATCTGCAGAGGTGACTCCTTCACCTTCAAGTATTCACGCAAATATTACCTTCTTTGTTATGTGTCCCCTGACTTCCATATTTAAAATTGAAACACCATCCCCATTTCCTTGGCACTTTCATTTCCCCTTATCCTGCTCTGTATTTTTCCCTTAGCGCTATCATCTTACAAACTAATGTACTCTTTATTGTATTGCATGTCTGCCCCCACTAGAAAATAACCTCCACAAGGGCTCAGATTTTTATCACTTATGCTCCTTGATGTCTCCCAATGCTTAAAAGAGTGTCTGACAGTAGACACTCCACAAATATTTGTTAAATGATAGAATGAACATGAGCAAAAAAAGAAAAAGAAAAAGCAAGATGTAGAATAATACATACTTCCTGATATTTTATAAAGTTCCAATACAAGAAAATGTTTTAAAATACCGTTCAGGGAATGGTACACATAGTATATTAATGCATATTAGCAAGGAAGCGCTAACATTTTGGACAACGGTTATCCAAGAGATATAAGATACTTAATAGTATTGATCACATTCTATTTCTTAAGTTGGAGAGTTGGGTCATGGGCCTCTATTTTATCATGCTTCCTAACTTACACACAGGTTATATATATTTCCCTGTATGTAGCTAATATTTCACAATTACAACATGATTTTAAAAACAAAAGATGGGAACTAGCTGTAGGCAGAGTTGAGGAGTGGTGTTCCCAACAAAACAATAGCTGTGTATGAAGGCCCTGAGGTGGGAACAGTTGTTTTACTGGAGGACTCAATACTGGTGTACCTGGAGCACTGTAAACATGAGATGAACGGGAGAGGTACGCAGGAACCAGATCTTGAAGTCCCACAGTTAGTAGTTTGGATCTGATTCTAAATGCAGTGGGAAGACATTGGAGGGTTTTAAGCAGGTAAGAGACATAATAAGATTTTTTAATTTAAAGTATGACTATTTCAGGCTTTAGATCCCAATCGATTTCAAAAACCAAAATCTGGTTTCTTTCCACAGAATAGCTGAGGCTTCTGTGTTAGGATGATTTCCTGGAGGCTGAAAAGGCTCTGTGCCCTTAGGAACACATTTCATCAGTCTTTGAGAGTCCCTGAGGGACATAAGATTTATACTTGCACAGTATTTTTGGCTGTGACTTTGGCTGGCTTCCCAAAATATGAAGGAACACAGGCAAATTTCAGCCCTCCAACCTTTCATTTGACTAGAGAATAATAAAACTAAATAAATGAGAATGCCTTGCCCGTGTGGCTCAGTGGACTGTGTCATCCCATGGACTGAGAGGTCCTGGTTCAAACATGCCCGGGTTGTGAGCTCGATTCCCAGTGCGGGGCGTGCAGGAGGCAGCCAATCCATGTTCATCTCTCACATTGATGTTTTTATCTCTCTCTCCCTTCCTCTCTCTCTAATAAAATAAAATAAAATGAGAATGGTGGTGCCACTTACTGAAATGAGGAAAACTGTATAAGGCATAATGTGAAACGGAGAGTGTTGTGAATGAGTCTGAGACTGAAAAGGTGAGCAGGGATCAGGTCATGGAGACATCCTTATAAATCTAGCAGATGGGGGGAGACTGTATCTTGTGAACACTGGCAAACCACTTGCTTTACTGCTGCTTTTTACAGGTTTTTTATTTGTTTGTTTTCTGGTACATGCCCCTAGCGGGAACTGAACCCAGGACTCTCTGGTCCACAGGCCGATGCTCCAACCACTGAGCCAAACCGGCCAAGGCGCTTTTTACAGGTTGTAAGCTGAGGGGTGCCATGGTCAGATTCACTTTCAGGTGGATCACCCTGTTAGCCAGTGCAGAGAAAGAAATAGGGTAACACTAGAGCAAGGGAGGCCAGTGAGGCTCCTGGAAGTACTACCTGGCACCAGATTGTGAGGCCTGAATTCGGGTGGTGACAGCGGAGATGGAGGACACAAATATGAAATATAACAGGAAGTAAAATCAGTAAGAATCAATAACTGGTGAGATACCATGGGGTGGGGTATAGCACTGATGGGCCATCCCACCTCATCCTTTCTGCAGATGTTTTCGCTAAACATGCCACCAGATCCGAAAGAAATGGCAGCCATTGAGGCTAGAAGAAATCGAGAAAAGGAGCGACAGAAAAGAGTCTTTGATGTGCGGACCCGAGTCATGGGGGTAAGTGGGCAGTGGGGATTTTCTTGGGACACAGAGTCACCTCACTTTTGCACCTGGAGAGGAACATAGCAGTGCCTGCTATAGCCCCTCCCTTATTTGAGCAGCCCCTGGGGCTGGAAAGACAGGAGAGAGGGAGAAGGCACCCACCCACAGGTGTGCAAAAGGGCCAGAGGAGGAGGTAGGGCTGCAGGAGAAGAGACTGGGGGAAGAGGAGCTGGTGACAGCTGACTCTTCTCTAGTCACCTCTGAGCCAAGAGACCTGGTTCTTTTTTGTTTTAAATGTGTTTTTATTGATTTTTTTAGAGATAGAAGAAGGGAGAGAGAGATAGAAACATCTTTAGATAGAGTGGGGGAGAGAGAGAGAGAGAGAGGCATAGATCGGCCGCCTCCTGCACGCCCCTTACTAGGGATCCAGCCGGCAACCGGGGCATGTGCCCTGACCAGGAATGGAACCGGGACCTCTCAGTCCATGGGGCGACACTCAATCCACTGAGCCACACCGGCTGGGCGAGACCTGGTTCTTGAGAGACAAACAACATGGAACCAAAAGTATTCTAAAGCATGTTTGATATTATATATGCCTAAGCTGTCTCTAGAAGGCTACATAAGAAACTATTAACTAGGCTGAGGGACAGAGATGGGAGGGACACTGATTCCTCACTAAACTATATTCCCTTTTGCATGATTTTGAAACATTCTAAAGGAATGAATTATAATAAAAATAAAGAGAAAATATCGATAGTTTAATAAAAAATAGATAGATTGCTGGGTGGGGTGGACAAAGGGAGGATGCAGCATGGTATTCTGGAAAAAAGACCTGTGCTCAAAGGCTAGGTCCGCTGTTCACTAGATGTGTGGCTGTGGATGAGTCACATGTCTTCTCTGAGCTCTAAGCTCCTCCTCAGTAAAATGAAGCTAAAGGATATGTTGAGGTATTAACTTATATTGGTGGCTCTGGAAAGCAGAGCATAGTGCCTGACATAAGTAAGCAGTTGGCTGAGGGTTGAGTGGTAGGACTGAGATCTAGTTGGCAAGTGTTTCCTAGGGCCTGCTCTGTGCCAAGCACTGGGTTGTGCAGGAGGGACACAAAGCTAAGGCCTGGTCTCAGCCCTTAATGACCTCACAGTCTGTTGGAGGAAATCACCAATAGAGGCAAACTTCAATAGACTGTACAGTGGGTCCCAGGTCCTGTGGGAGTAGCACCTGCCAGCGGGGTCAGGAAAGAGAAGCCTGAGCTGGAGGGATGAATGACAGGTTTCGGTAAGGAGGGGAGGAAGGGTGTTCCAAGTGAATGGATTGGCTGGATCAAAAACTGTCTGTGTGAAGCAGCCTAAGATATGCAGGAAACTAAGCACAGAGCTCTTGAGGGTGGGGCAGAGGAACAGGGTACTGAGATGAGGTTGGAGAATGAGGTAGATGCTAGACCATTGAGGGGCTTACAAACCATGCTGAGATGGTGGAATATTATCCAGTAGGCATTGGGGATCTATAGGAGGATTTTGAAGTAGGATTTCCGCTGCTGGGCCCCTACCATGATTTAGCTCATTTCTTTGGGATCAGGTGGATGTTGGAGCCCTGAACAGCCAGGTGGAAGAGCGGAAACTTCGGGAGGCAACAGAGAGGAGCAAGGAGGAAGCTTACGGTAAAAGCCCAAGGCCAGAGGCCTGCCAAGGATAATGTAAGGGACCGAGTAGACTGAGATGTGGGGGGCCTGAGGGCTGGGGTGTGGTGGAACAAACCAGCAGAGGCCATGCTGATTGGACTCTGTCCCTTCCCTGGGGCTTTCTCCATGTCCCTGCCCTCTACTCCCAGGTACCAGCCAGGTACAGTATGATCTGGTAGCCCAGATGCTAGAGAAGGAAGAAGCAGAACGGACACGTCGGCTGGCCAGAAAAGTCCAGGATTTTCGGGAGCAGAAGCAGCAGAACAAGAGTAGGCGTGAATTTGACCTTTGGGATCCAAACCAACTCTGGAAGGGGTTTCCAGGCCTTCATAGTAACAATGATCCCTACTGCGGCCTGGCCAGCATGCAGTGCTTCTCTGGGGAGGACCTGGAGAAGGCCACATGCCTGAGAATGCAGCAGGAGCAGTTCAGGTGCAGTCTGGAGAAGCAGATACAGGAGCGACAGCAAGCCAGGATTGATGAAATGTATATAGGTAAGCAGCTGGGTCCTCTAGGCTGAGACCTGAGGCCTGGCAGGGAGCAGATCTGAGTCGGGTACAACACCCAGGAGACCAGAGCTGTGGCAGGGAGGTTCAATTACCCATTGGGCTGCTGCTGAAAGACTGATGACTCCAACCTCCGTGACGTCCTTCAGTAATTGACAGTTTAGCCATTGGTCCCCGATCAGCCTGGCATTTTATTACCTGGACGCAGCACTGTGAGAACACCTACTAGCTCCGCTGCATTTGCACCCCTGTATCCCATCCCAGTTGCCTAGTACAGTGCCTGCCACTGTGTCGGGAGCTCAATGAATCATTGCTGAATGATCAGCTGAAGACCAAAGTCAACAAGACAGGCACCCTGTCCTCCAGAAGCCCCCAGAACTATGCCTTCCAGAGAACCAGTTTAGAGTAAGAGGGAAAGATACATGCAGAATATTTCCCTCAGCAAATATTTATGCTTTAACACTGTGTTAGCTACTCGGACAGGAACTGTGATAGAAGTGCATGTAGAATGTGGAAGGATCATCAAAATGGAAGTGGTAAATTTTTACAAGGAAAGGGAGACAGGGTGGGAGGTGGATGGGTTAGCTGTCAGGAACCAGTTTTAGAAAGTTGGATACAATTTTGTCAGGACGGGAAGGGGGAACACAAAAAGGCCTTCTAGGCAGAGGGGTAGCAAGAGGAAGAGCTCCAGGCTGTGAATGGTCTGGGAGTTTAAACATTTTTTTTTCTTTGTTGATTTTTAGAGAGAGAGGATGGGAGAGGGAGAGAGAGATAGAAACTTTGATTGGCCGCCTCCTGCATGCCCCCCACTGGGGATCGGGCCCATAGGCTGGGCATGTGCCCTGACCAGAATCGAACAAGCGACCTCTTGGTGCCTGGGTCGGTGCTCAACCACGGAGTCACACCGGCTGGGTATGGTCTGGGTGTTTTAAGATACACAGTTCAGTGTTAGTGCAGCCCAGGGTTGAGGACTTGGGGGAAGAGAAAATGGGCAAGAACCTTTTACACCAAACTAAGAAATTGTGACTTAACTATGTAGGCTGTGGGTAACCACTTTGGGGTTTTAAGCAGAAGAGTGACAAGACCGTTTCAATATGCAGCAAATATTAAGCTACCTACTTTGTACCTGGCACAGTGAAAAAAAAAACAGAACAATCCTTGCTGTCATGGAGTTCACACTCTAATGAGGACCGACAGACAATAAACAAGATAAAATAGTGAAATATATAAAGTGGTTAAAATAATTGGTGGGGAGAAAAATAATGCACAATACAGTATAAGGGGACTTTTGGAGGGGCTGCACAGTTGCAATTTTAAATAAGGAAAATCTCACTGAGGTAACATTTGAAAACAGATCTGAAGATGAAGGAGTGAGCAGCATAAATACCTGAGGGAAGAGCTGTCCAGGTAGAGGAAATAGTGCAAAGGCCCTGAGGCAGGAGAGAGGGTGTCTGGAATATTTGAGGGAGAGCAGTGGAGCCAGAGTAGCTGTAGTAGAGTGAGGGGAAGAGTGGTAGGAAGTGAGGTTAGAGAGGTGATAGGGGCCAGATAAAGTTGGCCTTATGGGCCATGGTGAGGAGGACTTCAGCTTTTACTGAGTGAGACAGGAGCCACAGGAAAGTTTTGATCATTGGGGTCACATGATTTGTATTTTAGACAGATAACTCTGTCAGCCAATATGGAGGTTGGATTAGAGGGGGTTAGACTAGAGGCAAGGAGATCAGGTAGAAGACTATTGCAGCCAAGAGGAGGTAGCTTACAGGCAGCTATATGGCTATGTGATCCCAAAGTTCCGGGGCCAGTCTGGGTTGCAGGAAAAGATCTGGGGGTCACGGTGGCAGTGGGGGGTATGCAAATGAGCAAGGTGCTAAACCTGGAGCCTGGGAAAAGAGTGAGCAAATGGTGCACCCTGTAAGAACAAAGACCACTTTGTTCTTATTAGGAACTACAACCCTGGTGACTTACACAGGGCCTGGTACATAGTAGATGGTCAGTGATTGTATCTTGAGTGAATGAATGAGTAGAGGAAAAGGAGCCTATAATAAAGACTGAGAAGGGATCAGGGAGGTAGGAAAAAGATGCATAAAATAATAACAACAACAATAATAATAGCAAACCTTTAATGAGCACTTATGGAGTACGAGATACTGTGCTAAGCTTTCCAACATGTAACTCATTTAATCATCACAACAGCCCTATAAGACAAGTACTAGTATTATGCCCATTTTCAGCAGAGGAAACTAAAGAACAGAAGTTACTTGTCCAGAGTCACATAGCTAGTGGGTGATGGAAACAGGAAATGAACTCAGGCAGACTGGCTGCAGAGCCCATGCTCTTGACCACTATGCCGTACTAGCCTTCCATCAGTCTCCATGAGATAGTGGGGCCTCAGAGGCTAAGAAAGGAATTTCAGACAGGGAGTCATCAATGATGTCAAATGCCCCAGAGCAGTTTAGAGAGGAACAGAGACCTGTGTATCGGATTTGGAAATTAGGAGTAGTTGGTGACTTCTTTTCTTTTCTTTTTTTAAATCTTCACCCGAGGATATCTTTCTATTTATGTTCAGATAGAGTGGGAGGGAGAAAAAGGGAGAGAGAGAGAGAGAGAAACATCGATGTGAGAAGGACACGTTGATTGGTTGCCTCCTGCACGACCCCAACCAGGGCTGGGGATGAACCACAACCAAGGTACATGCCCTTGACTGGAATCGAACCCGTGGCCCATTGGTCTGCGAGCCAATGCTCTACTGCTGAGTCAAACCAGCCAGGGCAGAGTAGTTGGTTAGAGCATTGGCCTGCGGTCCAGAGAAACCCGGGTTTGGTTCCTGCTAAGGGCACGTACCTCGGTTGCAGTTTGTCCCCGGCTCTGGTTGGGTCGTGTGGGTGGCAACCACTCCATGTGTCCCTTTCATGTCGATGTTTCTCTCTCTCTGTCTCCCTCCCACTTTATCTGAACAAAAAATGGAAAAATGTCCTCGGGTAAGGATAAAAAAAAGTAAGTGTTAATACGTTTGCTCATGCTATGCTCATGGCTTGAAATGCCCTTTGCTCTTTCTGCCTATATGCAACTTGTATTTCAAGGATCACCTCCCCCTGGAAGCCTTCCTCTCACCCACCATCTAAAGCTCTTGTAATGCCCTGTACACATCTGTCATTGACCTTACCACACTGTGGTATGATGATCCGTTTGATAGACAGGGAGCTCTCTGAGGACAGGATCTAATTCTGTGGTGTCCTCAGAACCCAACACATGGCTCTTAGACTGAGGCTCAGAGAGATGGAATGATTTCCCCAAGGTCACACAGCTCAAAAGTAACAGAGCTCGCATTGGGATCCAGGCCCACTGAAGGCATCTTTCAGTTAGGTACTTGAGAAATCCATGTTACTGCCACTTTGGCTTACCCTTAGCCCTACAGAGTAGTTATTTTCCCATTCCTACAATTAGGATATTACTCCCACTTCAAAACATGCACACACACACACACACACACACACACACAATCAACAATGCTTGTTGAACAAATGGCTGAATGAGTGAACCAGGAATGAAGCAGGCCAGTACAATACCCTGACCATATTTCTCTGTGTAGATGATCTCCATGACAAGCTGCGCCTAGCCATGGAAACAAGGGCCGCCCAGTTGGCCAAGCTGGAGGAGTCCTGTCGCATATCCATGAGGTGTGCCATGGCCAACGCCAACAAAGCCCAGGTATGGCCCGAACCATCCAGTGCTCTGGGCTCTCCCTAACCCCCTGAACAAAGTCCTGGGAAATCTTAGCCACATCTTTCCCCTCACAATACTTCTCGAATCAACACCAGCCCTCTCATCTACCTAACAACTTCCCCCTTTACCCAAGGGCCCTCTTAGGGCAGAAGATGCCATTCCCCACCTCCAGACTCAGGATGACCTGAGAACAGAATACTGCCCTTCCTTCCCCATCTGCTTAGTCTAAGGCAGTGGTTCTCAACCTGTGGGTCGCAACCCCTTTGGGGATCGAATGACCCTTTCACAGGGGTCGCCTAAGACATAATAGTAGCAAAATTAGTTATGAAGTAGCAATGAAAATAATTTTATGGTTGGGGGTCACCACAACATGAAGAACTGTATTAAAGGGCTGCGGCAGTAGGAAGGTTGAGAACCACTGGAAGGGCTTCTGTAGGGCAGGGAAGTTCCCTGTCCATTCCACCCCTTTCCCACCTTAGGTCATTCAAGGGCCATGCAATATCTGTTCCTTCTGTCTCTGAGATGGAGGAGAATAGGGCCATGTCTCCCCCTCCCTGTGACTGAGAGTTCCCTGAGGTTGGGCACCCAAATGCTCACATTCGGGGATCCCACCAGGCAGCTGAGATGGCTGAGCAGCGGTGCCATGAGTATCGGCGTGAACAGGAGGCCAACTTAAAGGAGATCCAGAACCAGATCAAGAGTGACCTACTGAGTGAGAAACCCCAGGTTACCCAATACTCTGGGGCTCCCTGCCCGGTCCTGCCCCATCGCTGGAAGGGCATGACTGCAGAGCAGCGAGCTGTCATCAGGAAAGCCCAGGAGGCGCAACGCCATGAAAAGGAGGCACAGCGCCAGGCCGAACAAGCACGGGACGCCGAATGGGAAAGCCAGGCCAAATGCCTGGCCCAAGCAGCCATGGAGCTAGAAGAGCAGGAGAGGGAATTGTGTGCTGAATTCCGGAGGGGGCTGGGCTCCTTCAACCAGCAGCTGGCTAGCGAACAAAGAGCCCAGTGAGTTCTAGGGGTTGGCGTCAGGGATGACGGCCAAGGGATGGGGAGGAATGGCGAGGGCCAGGGAGAGAGGAAAAGCCCATCGGCTGAGACCTTTGCACTTCCTTTACAGTCAGAATTACCTGAATTCAATAATCTATACCAACCAACCTACGGCTCAATATCACCTACAGTTCAACACCAGCAGCCGCTGAGCTCAAGATGGTCATCTCTTCCTTCCCCCCACCCGCATCAAGTTCACAGGAGTCAGAAAGGAAAATGCTGCAACCCCCCCCCCACCAGAATCCATTTCCCAAAGGAAGATAGTTGAGCCAGTACCCCCACCTACGAGCCTAGGTAATAAAGCTGTTCACAAAAATCAAGGCCACGTGTTGTAATAGGACACAAAATGTGTGAGGTACTGTTTTTCCCATGCTACCCCTGGGATCTGTGCATTCGACCCCATGGGCCTTCACCCATTCACCTTTCTTCCCTATGTCAGTTCCCCCAGCACACAACACTGCCCACTTCCTGTAAGAAATAGAGACTTACTTCCGGTCAAGATGGCGGGTAGGTAAACGCGGTATCGCGTCCTCCCACAACCACATCAAAGTTACAACTACAGAACAATCGTCATTCAAAACCGCCTGAAATCAAGCTGAGTGGAAGTCCTACAACTACGAATTAAAGCAGCAGCCACATCGAGATTGGTGGGAGGGGCGGAGGTGAACGGGCTGGCCCCACACCCACGTGTGGCGGATAAAAATCAGGACACCTTGCCTGGGAAGGTCCTCCCTGAGGACTGAGGGTCCCCGTCCCACACCAGGTGCCCCGCTCAGGGTTCCAGTGCCAGGAAGAGAATCCCCATAACTTCTGGCCATAAAACCAGCGGGAACTGAGGCTCAGGGAGGCTGAGGTGGCTGGAGCCCCAGGCAGCAGCTCCTCTTAAAGGGCCCACGCACGGACTTGTCGGACTCTCTCCCTCTAAGCTTGGAGGGGAGGCAGCTCGAGGGGCACCAGAGACACACAAGGAAGAACTGAGCTGTTTGGCACTGGAGCGAGGGCTGGAGAGGGGGCTTTCTCCAGGACAAACGTGCTGTCAGAGGCCTTTGTTCCTTTGGTGAGCCCTTCCCTGGGGCGGCAGACAGAAGCCACATCTGGGACTCCAGCGACCTGGCTCACACTGGTAGCCCCGCCCTGGTGATTCCCTGAGGCCCCGCCCCACCCAACTTTCAGGCCCACCCAAGCTGTTGCCAGTTGCTTAACCATAGGATTGGCCTGTCTTGGATCCTGCTTCAGGTTTTCCTAAATTCTTTCAAACAAGCAGCATCTGGTCTCAGCGAGCCCCATACCTCTCGTTAAGTAATACATAGAAACAAACACAGGGAGGCAGCCAAAATGAGGAGACAAAGAAACAGGTCCCAGATGAAAGAACAGAAAAAAACCCCAGGAAAAGAACTAAGTGAAATGGAGATAAGCAACCTAACAGATGCTGAGTTCAAAATACTGCTTATAAGGATGCTCAATGAACTTAGTGAGGGCCTCAAGAGCATAAAAAAGGACCAGTCAGAAATGAGGGATACACAGTCAGAAATGAAAGAGGCACTAACTGAAATAAAGAATAATTTACACATTCCGGCTGGTGTAGCTCAGTGGTTGAGCATTGACCCATGCACCAAGAGGTCATCGGTTCAATTCCCAGTTGGGCACATGCCCAGGTTGTGGGCCCAATCCCCAGTGGGGGGCATGGAGGAGGTGGCCAATCGATGTTCTCTCTCATCCTTTCCTCTCTCTCTAAAATAAAAAAAATAAAAAATAAAAAACACATAATTTACACAGATTCAATAATAGAGCAGGTAAAGCCAAGAAGCAAACCATCGATATGGACTATAAGGAAGCAAAAAATACCCAATCAGAACAGCAAAAAGAAATAAGAATCGAAAATAATGAGGATAGTATGCCTGGCCAGTTTGGCTCAGCAGTTAGAGCATCGGCCTGCGGTCCAGAGAGTCCCAGGGTCGGTTCCCACTAAGGGCACGTACTTCGGTTGCAGTTTGTCTCCGGCCCTGGTTGGGTTGTGTGGGTGGCAACCACTCCATGTGTCCCTTTCACGTCAATGTTTCTCTCTCTCTCTTCCTCCCACTTTATCTCAGCAAAAAATGGAAAAATGTCCTCGGGTGAGGATAAAAAAAAAAATGAGGATAGTGTAAGGAGCCACTGGGACAACTTCAAGCGTGCCAACATTCGCATCTTGGGGGTGCCAGAAGAAGAGAGAGAACAAGAAATTGAAAACCTATCTGAAACAATAATGGCATAAAACTTCCCTAACTTGGTGAAGGAAACAGACGATACAAGTCCAGGAAGCACAGAGTCCCAAACAAGATGAACCCCAAGAGGCTGACACCAACACACATCATCATCAAAATGCAGAAGGTTCAAGACAAGGAGAGAATCTTACAAGCAGCAAGAGAAAAGCAGTTATTTACCTACAAGGGAGTTCCCATAAAACTGTCAGCTGATTTCTCAAAAGAAACTTTGCAGGCCAGAAGGGAGGGGCAAGCAATATCCAGAGTGATGAAGAGCAAGAACCTACAACCAAGATGACTCTATCCTGCAAAGCTGTCACTTAGAATCGATGGCCATATAAAGAGTTTCCCACACAAGAAAAAGTTAAAAGAGTTCATCACCACCAAACTGTTATTATATGAAATGTTGAAGGGTCTTTTTGAAGAAAAAGATAAAATATATGAACAAACAAAATGGCAACGAATACATATCTATTGACAATTGAATCTACAAACAAAATGAACAGGCAGAACAGAAACATTCTCATAGATAGAGAACATTTTGTTGGTTGCCAGATGGGAGGGGGGTTGGGGGAATGGGTGAAAAAGGTAAAGGGATTAAGGAGTACAAATTGGCCCTGGCCGGCTTGGCTCAGCGGTTAGAGCATTGGCCTGCGGTCTAGAGAGACCCGGATTCGGTTCCTGCTAAGGGTGCGTAGCTCAGTTGCAGTTTGTCCCCGGCCCTGATTGGGTCGTGTGGGTGGCAGCCACTCGATGTGTCCCTTTCACACCAATGTTTCTCTTTCTCTCTCTCTCTCTCTCCCACTCTATCTGAACAAAAAATGGAAAAAATGTCCTCCGGTGAGGATAAAAAATAAATTTAAAAAAATAAGTACAAATTGGTTGCTAGACTGACAGATCTCAAAGGGAAGGGGGTTGGGGGGGGAGGGAAGAAATAAACCAAAGAACTTATATGCATAACCTATGGACACAGACAACAGTGTGGGAAAAGGCAGGAGGGGGCGGAAGTGGGGAGGAGGGGGGTTAATGGGGGAAAAATGAAGAACAGTTGTAATACATTCAACAATAAAAATAAAAAAAAAAGAAAGAAAGAAATAGACTTTATTAGGCACAGAAGGTGACTAGTGGGCGGTTACAAAAGGGCTACTGGGTTTCCTCCCAAACTGGAGTACAGTATGCCAGGGGAAGGAAGGGTAAAAGAGTATGTATTTTCTTTGCCCTCTCCCTTCAAGGCTGCATGCGGATGGCCCCATCCAGCCGGATGACCTCTCCATTGATGAACGGGTTCTCAATAATGAATTGTACCAGATGAGCATACTCAGCAGGGTCGCCCAGTCGGTTGGGGAAGGGCACCTGGCTGGCCAGGAAGTTGCGCACTTTCTCTGGAAGGCTGGCCAGCAGTGGGGTGCCAAACAGGCCTAGACAAGACAGAGAGAGTCAGAGGCCCACGCTCACTTTCATGTTTACCCAGTTCCCCGTCTCCTTAGCCCTACTTGTAGTGATTCCCTATGCCCTGGATGGAAGGCTGCTGCTGCTTAGGCGGCAGACACTTTCCCCCTCTATTGCCCACGGATCCCATCCAGTCCCAGGTGTGGCAGAGAGGAGATATGTGTACCTGGAGCAATGGTCATCACCCGGATGCCCATGGGAGCCAGATCCCGAGCAATGGGCAGTGTCATGCCCACTATGCCCCCCTTGGAAGCAGAGTATGCAGCTTGTCCAACCTGGAGAAAGAGTGGAGGTCATAGGTGGGAGGCCCCCAACAAGTCACTGAGGAGGCACAAGCCTTGTCCCTGCTCACACACCTGGCCCTCAAAGGCAGCAACGCTGGCGGTGTTGATGATGACTCCACGTTGGCCTCCCTGGTCTGGTTCATTCTGGCCCATCTCACCAGCCACAAGGCGGATCACATTGAAGGTGCCTATGAGGTTCACCTGGAGAACCAATAGAGACATGGTTAGGACCTGAGGCAGAGGCAGCCTTTTGTCCCCTAAAAGCTTTGGGAGCACCCACAGCCAGACACCTCTTATTCCTACCCCTGAAGAACATCCAAGGCCTTACATTGATAACTCTCTGGAAGTCCTCTAAGGTATGGGCCTGGCTCTTCTTTAAGTTGTATGTCTTGACGGCTACTGCAATGCCTGCACAATTGACTGCCACGTCCACACGGCCAAACTTTTCTTTTGCTAGAGTCAGGGCTGCTTGTACATCCTTCTCTGAGGTCACCTTTAGAGGGAGAAGTAGCACACACCCAGCACACACACTCAGCATTAAATCTATGGGAGAGGAGGGCAGAATTATATAAGGGAGAGGCCAAGAGAAAACCTGAGAATGGGATAAAGCTGAAAATGTTAGGCACTACAGAGCAGTGTTTCAAAACATTTTTCAAATCTATGCCCTCTTTTGATAAATTCACATATCAGTGGAGATTCTCAGATGCTGTGGATCAGAGCACAGTTTTGAGAAATAGTGATGAAGACGACTAGTTGTGTATCCCTATCTACAAAGATGACTGCATCAAGTTTTACTGTCTGTAGTCTGTTTCATGAAGTTTTTCACCTTTGGAAATATACATGCCTTGGCTGGTTTGGCTCAGTGGTTGGAGTGTCGGCCCACAGACCAAAAGGTGACAGGTTCAATTCCCGGTCAAGAGCATGTGCCTGGGTTGCAGGTTCAATCCCCTGTACCAGCCTGGGTCAGGTGGATTGTGCAGGAGGCAACCAGTCAATGTGTGTCTCTCACGTTGATGTCTCTCTCTCTCCCTTCCACTCTATCTTAAAAAACAAACAAACACAAAAACAATGGAAAAATATCCTCAGGTGAGACCGGCCAGTGTGGCTCAGTGGATTGAGTGTGGTCCCTTGGACTGAGAGGTCCAGGTTCAATTCCTGGTCAGGGCACATGCCCAGGTTGCAGGCCCAATCCCCAGTGGGGGGCATGTAGGAGGCGGCCAATTGATGTTCTCTCTCATCAATGTTTCTATCTCTCTCCCTCTCCGGTCCTCTCTCTCTCTAAACTCAATAAAGAAAAATATTTAAAAATAAATAAGTAAAATTACTGGGCACCATATGAATTTTCAACTATACATAGCCACTCCAGGAGATGCTGATATGTGCAATCCCCATCCCCATTGCTGTGAAGGCAAAAGGAAATGGGTCCTCTACTCACATAGACAGTACCCTATGGGAGGGGGGGACCCCATGGGTTCCCAGGCAAGTATCCGGCGGAGAGGTGAAGTGACCCCACTTACGTCGGCTGGGGCGAAGGCGCAGTTCTTCCCTAACTTCTTGGCCTGGGCCTCCCCATCAGAGCTGGGCACGTCCAGAAGCACAGCAGTAGCCCCCTGCCCCACCAGTCGTTCCGCCGTGGCCAGACCTAGGCCCGAGGCGCCTCCGGTTATTATGGCGACCAAGCCCTGGGAAGAGGGCACGGTTAACGGTTACGCTGTGCAGACCCTTTCGTATATATGCCTGTTCTCCAGGCTTTTCTGATTCGCCCCTGCGGAGTGACTCAGGTGTGCCTCCTCTCCTTACCAGTGGGCCCTCTAGGTTTTTCCTCCCCAGACAGTCCATCCAGTCACCCCACAGACGCGTGCTACGGAGAGTTGACCTTCACCTTCCGAGCCCCATCGCCGCAATACCAAGCCTAGATACGGGTGACCATTTCTCCCAGCACCGATCTCTTCCCCCTACTTCCACGGCCGCAACAGTCCCAGCAGGTGCAACGGGGCAAGCCGCAAGGGCGAGGGCCCGGATACCTTCACGCTCCGACACACCGCGGACATCTTTCCCGTCTCCCCCTGCTCCGCCTGCCGCGCTCCCTAAATGGCGAACAGCGGGGCGGGGCCGGCGGAGGGGCGGGGCCGGCGGGGGCGGGGCGTCCGGGAGTGGGTTGACTGCTCTGATTGGCTGTTCAGAGAGTTAGGAAAGGGCAAGGTGCCCTCAAGGAGTTGTGTCACCTGGGGAAAGGACCCAAGAGCAGCAGAATGTCACACCCTCCGCCCAACTCTTTAGCTGGCCCGGGGCAGGCAGCCAGCTCCGCGGGGGGCAGGGAGGGCAGGAGATTGAGTGTCCCTTACTCCTCAGAAAAATTCTTCATTCAAGTATAAACGTAACAGAGAGACTCTCATATGCAGGTTTTGTGTGGGACACTGGGGATACCCAGAGGAATAAGAAAGGGTTCATGCCTTCCAGCACAGCACAGTTCAGTTGGAAAAGAGACAATTACAGTATAGACACAGACAAAGGAAGGTAAGAGAACCAGGTAATAGGGCACAGACATGAACAGACAAAGAAGGAGATTCTGAGAGTCACATAGAGAGGAATATGTTGAGAAAGAGATTGTGAGGAACAGAGATGCCAGGTTGGATCACAGATATAGACAGGGTTGTGGAGAACCACTAAGAGACACAGAAGACAGGAGACAGACATGCAGAGACAGATCAACTAAGAAGCACAAGCCCAGAGAGGCATAAGCAGAGAGGCATCACCAGTTCAACATTTTCTACTGTCCTCTGTGTTTAAGGTGTTTTGAACCCCAAAGCCCAGATCACACATTGTGTATTGGACCTCAGTCAGAGGCTGTTATTTAAGACCTAAGTCTGTGGTCATCCTATGACATCTTTCAACCAGCATCCCAATTAGAATCTTGAATCCACCTAACCTAGCTAATCTGACTTCCTTCTGTACTTTTCCCCAAACCAAGATCTTCAGGCCATTAATCTTACTCTACATGTTCAGCCCTGTTTGACTGTCTGTTTCCTCCAATTATTATTATTATTATTATTATTATTATTATTGGTATGTGCCCCTAGCGGGAACCAAACCCGGGACTCTCTGGTCCACAGGCCCATGCTCTAACCGCTGAGCAAAACCGGCCAGGGCTGTTTCCTCTAATTAAACTATCTCCCCATGTATTTTCTCACCCAGGAAGACTTCCCTCTGGGCCTCCTGGTTGTTGACAACCACCACATTCATGGGTATTATACCATATTCATCAAAAGATTTAGTACTGCCTGGCCAGTGTGGCTCAGTGGTTAAGCATTGACACATGCACCATGAGGTCGCTGATTCTATTCCCGGTCAGGGCACATGCCCAAGTTGTGGGCCAAATCCCCATTGGGGAGCATGCAGGAGGTGGCCAATAGGTGTTCTCTCTCATCAATCTTTCTATCTCTCTCTTCCTCTCTCTAAAATCAATAAAGAAAAAATTTTTTTAAAAAAGATTTAGTACCAAACTCACAATCTTTCTGACTACATAAAGTCCTTCCAGCAATTTATAGCTCTTCACCAGGCCCAGTATGCTCCATCTTCATTGACCTCTTTTGTGTTCATCGTTACATGAGCTGTTCCTTCTTGGAATGCTCTCCCCCTGATCTTTGCATGACTGCCTTTCGCATGATTTGCTTAAATGTCACCTCCACTCCCTGACCACTCAAGCTGTAGCCACTTAGTTACTATTCCATTGTGTTGGAGGAGGTCATCAAGAGAATGCAACTGCCAGTTGTTCTGCCAGCTGGAACCAGGAAATCGATGCCATCTCACCCTCTCCCCTGTCCTTGGAATGCATGCTCTACCCACCATTCCCACAGCTGGAGTGTTTCAAGGATGCAGCCTTGATAGAGCAATGTGCTGTTGAAACAATCAGGACAGTATATGTGACTGAACCTGAGACAGGCTAATAAGCCAGGACAAGTGAAATAGGGAAACTGAGACAGATAGTTAAACAGCAGTTTGCAGCCATCTAGTAAATCCTATCTTCCCTAAACCAGGGACACTTACGAGAAAATGATTTGTACTTCTCCCCAGCCACAGCGTAAATAGCTTAAATCACCCTACTCAGGGAGACATCAAAATCCAATTAGTGCCATTTGTCAACCACACCCAAAGGCAGATGAAGTCAAGAGAATAAATCTCAGTTTGGCACATCAGCATAAAGCTGATGAATATTCTATCGAGATCCTCCCCTAAGACCTCCCGTAAATGCCCAACCTTTAAAACCCCTCAAAAAATGAAGGTCCAGCTGAAGCTCTCCCTCCCAGGAGCACTCGTGTGCCTCCCCCGACCCTTCTTTCCCCACAGGCGTGCATCTCCTAGACTCTAAGGGACCCCACAAGGCCTGCAACCAGGGCAGCAATGGGCAGCAGCAGTTCATCCCGGGAAACCCCTTGAACCTGTCCCCAAGGCCCTCTTTTCTCTGACTTCTTAGTGAGCCAAAGCAGACCAGCCTAAGCTCATTTCCTCAGCCTTTCCTTGTTTCACTGTCCCCAGCTTTAATAAATGTCCTCTAAAATTCACCTGGACTCATGTTAAATTTTTCTTGCACGACGTCAAGAACCCACACACTACCAGCTGGCCCTAGGCAGACCTGCTCAGGGCCAGGTCCCCTTTCTGGTAACAAACCCAGTTAAGGCCTCCATATAAACTTTTAAAATTCTAATGGGTGAGTATAGAGTTTTATTCATTTTATGGCCACCCAAGACAAGCCTCATATGTGAGTTCCCTTGCTTATTAAACCTGCCACCTACCAATCTGGAGTGGTTTGCCTCTTTCTTCCTTACCTTCTGTGTACAGGAGTCAGTTTGCAAACCAACACATTGCATACTTGAATTTTCTGCATAGCACTTACAGGTCCATAATCTTTTTTCCAACCTTGGGGCCAAATGTGTTTTAGAATTCAGAATTTTTTCATTTTTAGAAAGGAAGACATATACTCAATATTACATAACTACTGAGAAAGGTCTGGAGCATCACTTATAATTAAACATTAATATTTCTAGTGTGAGAAGTATGAAAATGTACACTAAATGTGAATCGAGACTATAAATCTCATGCTACTTCAGGTCAGGTTTAGTCACCTAATGAATTTGGGCTCTAAAGTATGGAAAAACAACCTTATTCTTTTCAGAACTTCTGGTATTGTGAAATTGTGGCTAAAGGCTTTTGAGCTTTGTCTAACCTGGCAGTGTGTGTGTGTGTGTGTGTGTGTGTGTGTGTGTGTGTGTGGTTCTTCCCCTCCTGGACAGTAAGCCCCTGGCAGCAGAGTCTTGTCCTGCTGGTTCACCTCTTGGCTACTCAGTGTCAAGAACACTGCCTGGCATGCACTATACACTCAATACAAATGCATGAATGAATTAATGAGTCAATGAACCAATCAATCTTGGGAGAATTTGCAGGCCCAGCTTCATGATTCCTTCATCTACTCAACTTTAGGGACTTTCACCTCCTCTCTACTTTAACCAACTTTGTCTAGGCCACATTATTAACCTTGTCCTGCCCTGGAATGACTCCCTCCATTCCTGGCATCTACACCCCACCATCTCTCACTCTGACTATGTTCTCTTATCCATCTCGGGTCTCCTCCGCTCTACCACTTCTTTTATCTACTTGAACCCTGTTCTGTGAGCCTTTCTATTTTCTTCCAGCCTGGTGGCCTCTTCCTACTTTTCTCCTGGCCAGAGTAGGCCCTCTCTCATTCCCCCTCTCTCTTTACCCATTCTCGCTACACCCTCAACCCATTTTCCCCTTGACATTCTACCAATTCAAGTCCTTGACTTTTTAGCATGGACTCTGAAGCCAGAAGGCCTGGGTTTGAATCTCGGCTCCATCATGTACTAGCTGAATGACCTTGGGCAAATTACTTAACTGTTGTGCCTCAGTTTCCTCTTCTGTAAAATGGGTATAATCAAAGCACCTACCTTGTAGGGTTGTTAGGAATAAAAGAGTTAACAACTATATATATATATATATATATATATATATATATATATATATATATGGTACTTCGGACAGTACCTGGCCTTTGGCAAGAGCTATGTAAATGTTAGCTACTGCTAGTCTTCGGAGCAATGTCCCTTAGCCTTTTTTATGCTGTGGACACCTCTGGCAGTCTGGTGGACTCTAAGAAACCCCTTCTCAGAATAATGCATGCATAAGATAAATAGGTTTACAAAGAAATACAATTATCAAAATAATAAGAAATAGCCCTGGCCGGTTTGGCTCAGCGGTTAGAGCGTTGGTCTGCGGTCCAGAGAGACCCGGGTTCCATTCCCGCTAAGGGCACGTACCTCGGTTGCAGTTTGTCCCCGGCCCTGGTTGGGTCATGTGGGTGGCAAACACTCAATGTGTCCCTTTCACGTAGATGTTTCTCTCTCTCTCTTTCTCCCTCCCACTCTATCTGAACAAAATATCAAAAAATGTCCTCGGGTGAGGATAATAATAAGAAGAAATACACCTGTTACATATTAATATATGTGCTTCTTCTTCTTCTTCTTCTTCTTCTTCTTCTTCTTCTTCTTCTTCTTCTTCTTCTTCTTCTTCTTCTTCTTTGTTAGTAAGGATACTTTTCCATTGATTTTTTCTTCTTCTTTTTTTTTTAATCCTCACCCGAGGACATTTTTCCATTTTTTGTTCAGGTAGAGTGGGAGGGAGAGAGAGGAACAGAGAGAGAGAAACATCGACATGAAGGGACACATCGAGTGGCTGCCACCCGCACAACCGACCAGGGCCGGGGACAAACTGCAACCGAGGTACGTGCCCTTAGCGGGAACCGAACCCGGGTCTCTCTGTACCGCAGGCCGACGCTCTAACCGCTGAGCCAAACCGGCCAGGGCTCCATTGATTTTTAGATAGAGTGGGAGGGAGGGCGGCAGGGAGAGAGAGGGAGAGAAACATCAATCTGAGAGAGACACATTGATTGGCTGCTTCCCACATGACCCCTAATGGGGCCAGGGATCAAACCTACAATGCAGGTACGTGCCCTTGACCGGGAATTGAACCCTTTGGTTCATGGGCATACGCTCT